TTTCTGTACGAAGAGATTGTCACCAGGGATAAGGAAATATTGAAGTTTGAAGGGATTGCCTTTTAATACCTTGAGTGTGGCAGAGCTACATTTAGGTGAAGGATGGAGTTTTGGGTGAAAGGTCTCAGGAGGAAAAGAAAAGCTAAAAAAATAAAAGCCAGGGAGAATGGAGACAATTGTTACATCTACTGAACCAAAATCATGAACTTCAAATGCTTCCATGCTTCTGTTCTGACTGGGCTTATACAGTGCCATTTAAAAGTTTATGAGCCATTTTGAAATTTCAATATTTCTACCTAAATATGACCCAAAGCAGATCTTTCTTTCTACACAAGTCCTAAAACTAGATAAAGAGAACCGAATTAAACAAATGAGTCCAAAACATTATATTTGTTCATTTATTTATTGAGGAAAATTATCCAAAGTTACATATTTGTAAATATGTAAATCTTTGCTTTCAGTAAGTAGGGCTCCTTCCTTGACCAGCAATGACTGCATTGAAACATTTCCAATAACTGTTGATCACCCCTGTACGTCAACTTGAAGGAATTTTAGCCCATTCTTCCTTACAGAACAACTCAGAAACATTGATGTGCTTCATTGCTTGAGCTGCCCACTTCAGGATCTTCCACAACAGTTTTATAGGATTAAGGTCAGGACTTTGACTTGGCCCTTCCAAAATATTAATTTTCTTCTCCTTTAGTCATTTTTTGGTCATACAACTTGGGTCTTGTGGATTGTTGCCTTGCTGTGTGACCCACGTGCTCTTGAGCTACTATTCATAAAAGCCTATATGTCTTTGAATTTGCTAGTACCATTCAGAATTCATAGTTCCAGCAACATTGGCAAGCGATCCTGGTCCATAGGCAGCAAATCAGGCCCAAATCATGATACTGCCACCATCATGTTCACAGACAGGGTAAGGTTCTTATGGTGGGATGCAGTGATTATCTTTCACCAATGCAACATTTTTCATTCAAAAAATTACATTTTCTATTCTTTCAGTAGCCTTCTGGCTTAGCCATGTGGCTAATCCCGACAATTGCCAATGCAATAGAGGCCTTTAATTCCTTAGATGTTACCCTGGAATTCAGTGAGACCTCCTGGTGTATTGTACCTTTTGCTCTTGGTATAATTTTGGTTGGTCAACCACTCCAGGAGAAGATAACAGTGGTGTTGAAATGCCTCCATTTGTGAACTATTTGTCTGGCAGTGAACTAGTGAAGACCAAACTCTTTGGAAATAGTTTTGTAACCTTTTCCAGCCTGGTGAGCATCAACAACTGTTTTTCAGAATCCTCAGGAATTTCCTTTGTTCAGGACATGACATAGTTCCCCATATCTGTGCTGTGAAGATCATACTTTGAAAATGAAATCTGAGAACTCTTTAAATAAAGTTAAACTTCCCACATTCACATGATTGTGATGTCTTTGATTGAAACAGCTAACTCAATTTAATCTTTCAAATGAACTACTGGTTCACATACTTTTTGCATATGGATATAGGCAACTTTGAATCATTTTCCTCAATAAATGAACAAATATAATGTCTTTGATTCATTTCTTTATATACTTTTAGAACGTGTGAAAAACGTATCATGTTTAAGTCATTTTTATGCAGAAATATCTGTATAAAATGGGATTATCAGCTTTTAAACACTACTGTATGTGGAGGACCCTCTAAGATTTTCCCTTTTTCCTTACTGTTGTGGTAAGATTGTTTGTTTGTTTGTTCATTCGTTTGTAAAAACTATTGGCCATCCATCTTAACCTCAAGGTAATTCTTATTATTCTTTTAGGGCCACATTGTGCTTTTGAAGATTGGAGTGATTTCTCTTAAGAAATCAAAAATGACCTGGAACTCTACTTTTTGTGGAGCAGTAGTTCACAACCACCATTTCACTTTCCCTTGCTGTTTATACTGGGGGTTCTAGTCCAACACATCTGGAAACATCAGTTTGGGGAAGACTATTCTAACACATGTCTTTGTGGCCAAGGGAATTTCCTATGTATTATTTATGTTATTTAATTAAATCTCCTCCTCCTCCTCCTCCACTACCACCACACACATTTCTTTTCAGCTTGAAAGCTATCCAAAGCATCTAACATTCAGCCAATGAAATAAATGCTGTTTCTGCCCACAGACTTAACCATTGAAAATGATATGACAGAAGATGAGGGAAAGGAAAACAAATTTTACAAAATGGAGCCAATTCTTAAATCACAATTTTTTTGAAAAATATCTCAGGAAAAAAAGAAGATCAGAATCTTTTATTGCCACCTGCTGCAATTTCTCCTTTTCACTTAAGGAGTAACTCTTTTGGGGGGGGGGACATGTAACTCTGTTTAATGTATAATGTAACATTGAAATAAGCCATTTTTAATTTGAAAGATTATGCTAAAAGGTGATTGGAGGGGGTTCTGTTTCTGTGAGCAGACACAGAATTTAAAATGTCATGCTATCTGTCACTAATAACTCCTCCCTCTGTTTTTTTTCCCCTGTTGAAAAAAGGAAGAAACCATCAGAACTATTATCAGGAAGTCTTGGCCTCTTGAGACTAGGAAACAGTGGGAATGTATTTCTAAGACCAAAAAATTGTTAAATTTTGAATCTCCATAATGTAAATGTAGGAAATACAAAACTAATGTATTTTGAGAAAGTTGGCCAAGTCGCAGCATTATTCCCAAATGAAAATATTAGTAGCAAGCATTTTATTTTGCTTTATTGTAGATTTCTTTTTAGAATCTACACATGCATTTAAAGTAAATAATCAGATAGTAGTAGTCATATTTTTCCATGTATCTAACTGCCAATAATCTGGAGATAATCTAGGAAAATATAATTATAATAAAAAAATCTGAAACCCCATGATTTTTTTTTAAAAAGAGGGGTAGCAATGCTCTAATTCAGCACACTGCTGGCCTATTTAAATTTGCATTCAGAGTGACCTGGAAAAAAAGGAGTTTTGATTTTTTGCAAAATGATAATTCTTCTCTTTTACTCCATTACTCATGAATTTGACCTAAAATAATAATAATAATAGTAATAATAATAATAATAATAATAATAATAACAACAACAACAACAACAACAACTTTATTGTCACTTTGAAAGTACACCAATCGGCATACATCAAAATGAAATTTCATTGCATACAACTCTCAAAGGGTCACCATCTCCGATATACACCCCTTGCTCGTGCCCAGCTCAAGTTACAGATCTTCCATTTTAGTCTCTAGAGCAGTGGTTTTCAACGTTTGTGTGACGGCGACCCCCGTCACACAAACGTTCTGCGCATGCGCGGCGCCGCCCCCTGGGGGGAGAAAATGGCGGATCGCCTTCTTTGGCGACCCCCGAAAAATGGTCGATCGACCCCAAATGGGGTTGCGACCCATAGGTTGAGAACCGCTGCTCTAGAGAGTGAATGATGGCAAACAGGACAGATGGAAATGGAGCTCCATGTGGATTATCCCTCAAATTAGCTTGTATTCCTGCACAACAACCTCGCCTCCTTTTCTTTTTCTGATCTTGTTTCTTCCACCTTTTCCTTAAAGAGGCCTCACTCCTTTTCGCCCCTGGAGAACGCTGCCTCCGCCACCACCAACTTCTCCAGAAGCCTCTCTCCCATCCTCTGGGCCTGCCAACAGCCTCATCCACTTCCTTCACTCCATAAGCCCCGGGACCTCTCCTCCTCTGCCTCTTTGGAAACAGCCCCGATTTGCAATAGAATCCGTCGCTGGGCCAGCAGTCAGATCTTGCTGCTGGCAGAACAATTTCAAACAGCACCTACGACAAATAAAAATCCTAGACTATATTTTATGTTATTGTATTTTTAGTTGCAAAATCACCGGGTTTCTCAATTACATATGCATTAGCAATACATGTCTTCTATGGATATAACAGATAGAAAACAATCTATCTGCCTCTAGCCTAAAAAGTAAGTCTAACACTAGGCAACTTCTCAAAAGCTCGACTTGACAGTTGAATGATTCCGTTTCTTAAAGCAATGCTATTATATGTTATCCTTGCTCTACTGCATGTTGCCCTTTTTAACTCCCCAAAACATGTATAATATCAAGATGTGCGATGGAGGCTGCACATGTGTGAATACATACTGAACTTTTCCCAACATATACTGTATATGTACATGAAACCTCTCTCATCCAGCAGTTTTAAGAAGAGGTTTCTCTACTGCTTTTAGCAAGTGAGAAAATGTCATGCAGCATGGATTGACCAAATGCACTGTTTCATAACAAGATCAAGCTTTTGTAAATCCAAAGGTTGTGGTAAGATATTTGTCCTCACATGTCCTCTTTCTCAGCCTAGTTAGAGAAAAGGGTAGCAGCATGGTTGGCAAATGCAGAAGAGGTCTTTGAAAGTCTGCGTACCACAAATTGCTCATCTCTGTTTAAAGCTTGCTTAGAAATACCTTTGTTTTTCTAGGGCTGTCATTTGTGGCTTCTCTGCCACTTATGGGATTAGTGTGATATTGCCTGTTTATATTTTTACATTTTTATTGATCACATTTTTATGCTGTTAAACTGTTTTTTTAAAAAAAAATGGAAGAGCAGGCTAAGCATACCTCCTGCCTGAGCAGGGGGTTGGACTAGATGACCTCCAACTCCCTTTCAACATTATTATTATTGTTGTTGTTGTTATTGTAGTAGTAGTAGTTTTTGTTGTTGTTGTTGAATGCAGAAATACTACATTTTCAGAACTTAAGAAGTGCCCATAATAGCTTATAGTTATTTAACGGCTTCTTTTGTTCCAGGAAGGCTTGTTCTTTTTGCACTCCTTTTTATGGGGGTGGGAGTGGTAAATTGAGCACCCAAAAACATTTAAGGTGTTATATGTACAGCTGCAAGTGTACAGTAATACAATATAATGTACAGTAATGCAAGTGTATTATTTGGCATGAAGAAATCAAGAATTTGTAGGTAGGCACTATAAATTGCAAAACTCACTATTCTTTTTTTTTTTTTTCCCCCTTTCCTTCATAGTACGAAGTCTCTGGTGAGGAGCACCTGTACTCTGATTTCCCAGAGATTGATTTATCTCCGCTGGATACCAGTGACTTTGACTCAGCCAATTGCTTCAGCGAGTTCCAGTGGTGGTGTGAGCACTCTGAAACAGAATCCAGTCAGTACAGCACAGATGACTCTGAGCTCTTTCAGGTACCCTATATCAAGAGATCCTCTGTTACAGAGGGGAGTCTGCTGTGCAGCCTGGCGTTCCCTTCTTTTAAGAAGTGTGTCACCTGAGATCCCAGAGTGCATTCAGCTCTTGAAAACCTCGGGTGTATGCAAAAATTGCTACCCAATTGTGATTTTAAGTGTGACAGAAGCGGAGAATGATGAAATACAAGGGAAATAGTCACGTTAACTGCATTTACTTTAATCTTGATTGAGTTAAATATCCATTCCAAGTTGCTGATTACCCCTGCAGGAAAGCTGCTAAGGGTCAAAGTCCTCACTTAACAACTGCAGTTTGGCATCAGCAACTATGCACGGTGCAGTTGTAAAGTAAAACATCACAAGACCATTCCTGGCTTAACAGCCATTTGTTTAGTGAACTTTTCAAGTTACAGTGGCATTGAAAAAGTTACTTATGACTGGTTCTCAGGCTTTCAACCATTGCAGCATTCCTGTGGTCACATTATCAAAATTCAGACACTTGGCAACTGACATGTATTTATGATGGTTGCAGCATCCATGGTCATGTGATCACCATTTGCAACTTAACAACTTTGTTATTCATTTAACAACTATAGTGATTTACTTAATAATCACACCCCAAAAAATCATAAAATCAAGCATTAACTCATTTAACAACCGCCTTGTTTAGCAGTAGAAATTCTGATCCCAATTGTAGTCATAAGTCAAGGACTACTTGTATTTAAATCAATATAAGTGCAATTAGGCTGGGGTTTAATATTTAACTTTCTGAGATGAAAGGAGGATCATAACTTACAGTGGATTGGTTCTCTCTGGTTTATTTATGTCAGGGGTGTCAAACTGGCAGCCTGTAGGCTGGATGCGTCACACACAGGCCACACCCACCCCGGCTCCACAAAGGCAAAAAAACATCATGATACATCATGGGACGCAATCAAATTTGACACCCTTGATTTATATATTTTGAATTGCTGACAATATTTTCTTACTCAGATACATCTGGGAGTTGAAGCTAGGAGCTTCATTCGCAGGAGTGATTTCAAAAAGAAGGTTCAACATGTTTGTTCAACCTATTGTTTTAGACCTTTGGTGTCTGCGACAGTCTATCTTATAATCTTTATCTGTAAAGATACCAGATAAAGTCATCTGAAGTTTTGTAGTAAAGTATTCCATAGGGTTTTTGTTTTTTTCATGTTATTTCATAGAGTAGAGATGCCTATTTCCATCATGGGCTTGGGACATGTGTAGAAAACTGGAAGGGAATCCTTATAAAATGGGGGCTGAGTAATGCAAAAGGATCTTGGTATATATCTTTTTTGTCTGGACAGAGCTCCATGTCCTTTGTAAAGAAAGGTACACAATCTAAGTCTCTAAGATATAATTTTGGATCCAGTATTGCCAAATGAATGTTATATTTTGCATCTTTGGTGCATGCTCTGTGCTCCTTTATTTATTTCAAAACCCATTAAGCGCTTGCTGTGTCAACTTCCTTCTTTGTTAAGAGCATCAGGTGATGCCTTTGATTAGAGGAATAGACTAGAATCAGGGGTGTCAAACTGCCAGCCTGCAGGCCGGACGCGTCATGCGGAAGCCACGCCTACCCCATTGCTGGCAATGGCAAAACTGTCCCGATACGTTGTGCAACGTCACGTGACGTCACAAGTTTAACATGTCTGGACTAGATGGAGGACAGAGTTCCTTGATAGAGATCTGACTTCAGAACATATCTCTAAGGACAAAGATGACTTGTACTAACCATGTCTACTTTTGAGTACCAAGTTAAAATATTTCTGTGTCTGGATATTTCAAACTTGACTGCAGCTGTCCTGTGTGACTTCAGCTGATTGGTGAATTTTGGTTTAATTCCTCTCAATGTAGGGATCTTGAATGAGAATATACAGTATAATGTTATAATTGTAATCATATCATATATGTAATTACATGCTTATATATCACTGTATAAACCCAGCTGTTTTAGGAATTCTTGCAAATATTTTTTTTCACTCAACCAAATTTAAAGAAAAGAAATTCTCTTATCTGCCTATATATAGCTTACTCCTAGCTTAGTTATGCATCTCTTTTAACAGAAGCACCAGGGATACTGTACTTAATGGCTTCATAACCCTATTAATTCCTTGTTGTACAGGCTGTGTTTTTTTTTCTTTTTTCCTAGATCAGTAGGAGGAAAATGAGGAAAAGTGGCTGTGGGTGGGAGGGGATTCAGGCTATTAATATCTTTTCTGCACATGATTAGTGCTCCATTAATTTTCACATGGTTTCTAAATGGAGCAAGTGTAGTAAAGCTAATGAGGAGATGGAAGAGTAGGAGAGGGCTATTGAGCCAATCCTCTTGTGATCTATTATTGAAGGGAAATTACAGGATGGTGCCTGATGCATCCAGCTTGTTGGTTTTTTGTTTTGTTTTTTTAAGCTGATGGATTATTCTGTTGTAGGTGGGGGAAACTAAAGGAGAAGGATGCAGAGAAGGCTGGTGCAGGGGGAGCACTTACGCAGGAGGAGCATAAGTTATATGACCCAAGAATGTTAATTTCCATCCTGCAGAAAGCTGCTTTATTTGATTTTCCAGCTTCAGCATTACCTTTATATCTCTGTGTATGTGGATATTTATAGATGAGGCTCTCTGTGTGTGTTGCTTCCACAGTACTTTCTAAATATATGTGGTCCCATTATACAAGTAATGAGTTAAGATGTGGTGCTGGGTAGATGGAGCAATAATGAGCCAGTGAAGATTAAAACCATATTACATACCTAGGCTTATGGGAGGTTTTTTATAGAATCCATAGTGTCCCCTTCCTTTGTTGGCTTTCACAAAATGGTGCAATATTTCACATTTGGATACACTGTATTCACACTACAATTAATACTTCTATAATCAGGGCACGTTGTGGGTGATTGCACTAGGAGTCAGATGAAAAGTAATGCTTCTACCACAATAACTTTAGTTTAAATATGGATGTTTTAATATATGAAAGGGGAATAATCCCTAAAATGAGCTATTTTGTACCTTATATTTACTTCTGCACATAATCACCACTGTTTGCGATATGTTTCTCCCAATGATAAGCAAACTTCATAAAGCCATCATGAAAAAACTCTATATGTTTTCTCTTCCACCACATCCTGATAGTTCCTTCAACCTCAGTGAATCACATTCCCAAACATAGTGTTTATTAAATTTTTGGAAAAGATAGAAGTTCTATGACTGCATGCCAAATAATGTAAGATGATAAGATGCAACTTCACAATTGCCTCTTGGCTGGTGAGGTGTGAAGCCTAGGATTGTCATGTTGCAGCAAAAAAAAAAAATTGTTTCCAAATTCACCCCCAGCCCCATAGGAGCAACAACACTATCAAACCAACTATTTACTTATTAAACAAATTTATATGGCTATCTACTCCTCCAAGGAAAAGTGTTGGAACTAAAAGAAAATCTCTCCACTATCGAATATATTTCAAAGATCTGGGAGTAGGGAACATATTTCCTGCTACACTGAGTGACCACTGTGGCCAAACCATGCCATGTCTACGATTGCCTTGCTGGTCATTGGGGAAGAACTTTAGTGATGGAATGAAGCTTTGCCAATACTCTCCTGATGCAAGAACTTTTGGAATACTGGGACGTTTTCTAATGAAAATTGATGGGTCTTTATGTTCCCCAAATAAGGTTATCAGTTGGTATAATTTTATGATCCACTGACTGGATTTGGGGTTGCCAAAGTTAAGTGTTCTATGGAAAAGTTCCTCACACAATATCTTAAAGTAGTATGGCTCACACAATATTTTCAAGTTGTACGGCTGACACGGTATCTTCAAGTTGTAGTCAAACTCATTGCCAAACTGCTTTCCTTGAGCCAGGCTTCTGTTAGGGCCCAGGCATGCTGGCTGAGGAATGCTGGGAGTTGAAGTCCACAAGAAGTCCATAAAAGGGCCAAGTTTGAAGACCCCTGTGTTAGGCATTCACTAGTTCCATGCAAGCAAATGTCTGGTTTTGTCCTCTTGCCAACTCTAGCCATGATAGAAGTGATGTCTCTTTCTCCACATGAAAGCTAAGCAAGACAATGAAATAAAAGCAGAGTTCCTGATTCCCCTGTGCTACTTCACCGTATTTTTAGCCTGCAAAGGGTTAATTAATGAGACTGCACATTGCTGGTACACAAATTACAGGTCACTAATTTTTGTGTCGTAACAACCTGGAAAGGCTGTTGCTTTCTTTTCCAGACACATCATCAATTTTTACAAATAGCAATGAGAATGTTACTGACACTCCTCAGCTCAGTCTTTTTGGAAGGTGGGGAGTGAAGAGAAGGTACTTCTGCTGTAGTAAGAGCCATTGCTGGATTCTGCTATAGCATCTAGAAAATTTCTTTTTTGTATTTTTTTCATGTAAAAGAGAGTTTTAGTCAGCCCTTTTCAGGGAATAGCAATTCTAAAATGCATCAAATAAAAACAGCATAGAAATGTGGTAATTGGAGCCCCTCTGGTTACTGCTGAGTGTAATTACAGTAGGAGGCCTGACCAGCTGCAGTGAAGCTTATCCAAGCAACCTCTAAATGATCTGCTGCAGAAGCTGTCTGTATGTGCAAACAAGGAATGCAGTTTTAATTTCCTGAAATGGCTGAAAGTTGTAGAGGAATGAATGAACAACTTACACTCCCACAACATAAATACACATGGTAAGAGCAACAGTCTTGCTCTGGATAAGTGCAGCAAAGCTGGTCTGGATAGGTACAGAGAAAAATAACCTTAAATTGGCATATTAACAAAATAGTGCAAATACATGGGTGCTGATTCACTCATTAATGTTCAAAGGGCATTCCACAGTTTGAAGTATCCAGACCTGCCAATTACCTATTAGTCCAGCCCATGTGAAGCCATAGGGCTTGGGCAGAAGCTTTGTCTAACCCCACCAGAATCTTCCAGGTAGGTTTCCTGCTTTACGTTGACAGGAAAAGCGGTTACTGACTCTACCGTCATACAATCATAGCTTATCTTGCTTTGTTCAGTATCCCACTCAATCCCTCCTTGATTTGACTTAATAAGAGCCAAGCCTAGCAGGATGTTGCAAAAGGACCTAGCAGGATGTGTGAAAAGCTAATATTGCTATTTAGTTCCTACAGTAAAAGAATCTATTTATACACTGTTTCCTGTAACAATTTTTATGGTGATATGGGCATTTTCACTTCCTAGGATAGAGTCTCCTAGAAGTAACTGAGTGTGGTAGAAGAGCTTATGTTTGGGCAAGTTGTATTGCATCCTATAAGGGTTATTTAATATACATACTTCTTTTTATTATATGGCATAAAGAAAATGGCAGAAAAAACACATCATTTGATTGCTTGGATAAGCATTTTGTCCTAGTTCAAAAGGTGAAGTATATTAGTGGATACATATAAACATGACTTTAGTTCTTTTCTGTTCCTTCTTTTAATATAAATATCACCTTAGATTTCAGGACCTGCCAGACTAGTTGTACTATAACTGCTCATTTATTTAAGAACTTTAAAAGAGATGTAATGCCTTCATTTGCAGCTTTATGCTATTGTTCTAAAAGTCCAAAATGACTGACAGGCCATCATTGCAGGATGTGTATTTTTCACCCAGGAAAATATAAACAGAGCAAGCCTTTGTGTTTCCTAAAGAATGAATGCATAGAACACTAGGAAAATATCCTGCTGATGTCCTGTCTAAAGATGTATTTTGCCAATATTAGAAAGAAAATATCAAAGAATACTGCATTCTTAGTACTTTTCTTCTTGCTGCTGTCAGGTTTGTGTGTGTGTGTGTTAAATGTCTTCATTGTTATGGAGTAATAATGGCTGCAGAGAGCCAAAGATATGCCTAGAGTCACTGAAGATATTTTACTTCTTTAAATTCAAACTATATATCTAAATATCTGAAAATCAGTTCATATGTTTGGCTATGAGAAAGACCCACAAGTGATTATACAATATCTACAATATAATGGTAAATATTATGCTATAAACACAGTGCATAGCTTGTTGAAAACAATCCTATATCAGCCCATAATAAATAAATAAATGTATTTATCGACAAGAAGGTTATACAGTAAATCCAACTACCTTGCATATAAATTTTGAATTAATAACATCAGTGGGCAAGACTGTGCCATGTATTTGAATTAGCTTTAACTGGATTAGACTAGGGTATCTAATGTTTTAGACAGCTAAGCTTTTCCCATGTTTTTTGGTGTGTGTGTGCGCGTACGCACGAATCAGTGCTTCTAGTATTCAGGTTTCAACACTTAATGTGTTTTGTCTCTAGAGCATTCTTTCCATTACTAGTCTGGTAGGCTGAGGGTCAACTACATATAACTTGAACATGTGATTATCAGCTATGTCCAAATCAGGACCAGAACAAAGGTTAGCATAGAATTGTTCATTCTTTGCCTCTTCTGCAGTTCCATATGAGAATGCAGGATAAAGAGCTCTGCAATTTACATTGTCCAAAATTATTAATTTGTTTGATTTGATAATGAATGGGACGACAACAGAGGCTGAGAATCTGAATAGGGTATAGAAGCAACTGCATTTCTTGTGGTAGATCCCTGATCTGGATCAGATTTGAGTATTTGCTTATATTTGATATAATATTGTTATTTGTTGTGTTTCTAAACAAACTTACTATCTAAGCATGACTCACACATAGTGAATTTAATCACAGTTGACTCTGTTAACCCATTTTCATGTTTGTACAATACACTGAATTTTAAACATCAACAGTCTGGGTTTTTGCCCCAAGCTAAGCTAATATGTAATTGGCTACTTTATATCCCAGGGTCTCATGTGAGCACACCTATAGCTTTAAAGGCAGTATAGGAATTACATGCAAGGCTAGGGTATACTGTACTTGAATTAGGTGTTTTCTTTAAGTCCTTAAATAATGAAGCACCTTGATGGCTGTACCTCATTGCAGCATAGAATCCTGCATACAGTCATGCAAGTACGTTAAGCCAGTGGTTCTCAATCTTTTCTTCACCACAGACCTTCTTTAAATACTTTTTGTGGCCACAGACCATGGCCACGGAACCCTGATACTTAACTTAGGATTTAAATCATAACATTTCTTCAAGCTTTTACGGACCCCTGATGACATTGCGGCCACCAGGGGCCCGCAGACTACAGGTTGAGAACCACTGTGTTAAGCAATGAAATGCTAGGTAGATATTGCAATGTGACAAGGGAATAATGTCATAAGCATAGGGTTAGATACATTGTTACTTACTAACTTACAGTTCAATAACACTCCACAATATCATTAAACAGCTCCAGAATTTTTAATTGCTTTGGATAAATTCATTTTTTTTTAAGATCCACAAGTTCCTAATCAGATATATCTTATACATCAGGGGTCTTCAAACATAGCCCTTTTATGACTTGTGGACTTCAAGCCCCAGAATTCCTCAGGCAGGCACACTGGCTGAGGAATTCTGGGAGTTGAAGTCCACAAGTCATAAAAGGGCCAGGTTTGAAGTCCCCTGCTATACAGCTCTTATATTTGGATAGCCACCATGCAGCAGCAAAGATGCAGAAAAAATTCTAATTCCTTGTTATGTTCCATGGATTGTTCAGATTTTCACAGCCCAGATATGGCACCTTTAGTAGCCTGAGCTCATCTTGATTGGAAACTCAGGTTTACCAGTCCTTTCCTTATAAATTCTAAATAACTTCTGTCAGAGATAGTTGGAAGCTGCTGCATCATTCTGCATCCATGTGCTCATTACTTCAGCTGAATTTGAACATTTGCCTAATTCTCCCATTGAAAGTGGGAGTTAAAAGTGCCTGACTTTGACTGGATTTTGTGCATTGATTTAAAATGAGTACTTTAGTAGCCTCCGATTTTATTGCTATATGAAAGATTTGCCCAGAAGTGAAAAATATTATGTTTCAATAGTGTCTAGGTACAAAGACTAGAAAACCTCCAAAGTCCCTTCCAGCTCCTGTCCTGTCCTGTCCTACCCTACTCTACCCTACCCTACCGTACCCTACTCTACTCTACTCTACTCTACTGCAATTTGTAATTTGTTAAATATAAATGAGAGAAGAAAGAGTAGCAGATTGAGATGTCATCAATTAATTGAAGTGTAATGTTTTATTTGATATTAAAGAGATGTTAATGTAACCCTAAGAAATTTTAATTAGAAAAATATCCATTGTGTTCAATGAGAATTAATGCTCGTTAAATTACTTAGGACAGCGTATGTTTTTTTTTCATATTTTCAAAAATGATAATATTTAATGTTTTACAGATAGACCAGACCATTTTTACTCCTAATGTCATCTCATTAATAATGCATGAATTTGGGATCTTACCTGGGGTTTACAATAAACTGGAACATCAGATTCGTTGCCAATATGTCACATATTTTATGTTCTGATTTTGTTTATCTCAGCATAAGATTTGTGGTAACTATCTGGAATACGACACTTCAACACAGCTTCTCTTTGAATTCAAACTGAGTTATGGCTGACCCTGTCAAATCCTGACAATACTAGGAACCCTGTTTCTGCAAGACATTAAATCTATGATTTGGCTTGTCCTATTATTGTTATGTTTTGGGCTACTGTCAGTGGAATTGTAAATACAGTATGTGATCAATCACTATATATTAAAGATGTATATATTCTTCTTGGCTCTATCCCCAGTATTTGGTATCTATTAAAATATCAAGAATTGTGATTGGGCCAAGGGTATGGCTAAAAGAATAACTATAGAACACTGGAAATAGAAATCTACTCCTGAATTACAGTAATGTTTGTTGATATGCGATGTTTATCAGCATTTGAATCATTTTATTTATTTCTTTGTTTGTTTGTTTATTGGACAAAGTGCCAAAGAAAACGTAAGAGCCGTATGATCAAACTTTCTGTTTACTGTATTACATATGTTTAATGTTAGGCATATATTGACTATAAATATGCCACGGTATTACCAGTTTCTCTGCCTGCTTTTAAAAGAATATAAAGTCATCTGGCTACTCTGCTGTATAAATAACTGGAATATGATTACAAGTGAGTTTGTATGTTGTAAGAAACACCGTATTTGGGAAACATCTCTTCTTAATTTCTCTTTTTCTCCCATGTCCGTCTGACTCCTCCCAGCAGATTATTGACAGTGAGAATGAAGCTTTGCTGGCAGCTCTCACTGAAACACTGGATGACATTCAGGAAGAAGACATGGGTCTGGCTGCCTTCAAAAATATAGACGAGGGGGACATGCCCAACAGCGGCTGCACATCACCTATCCCCTCTCCCAATCCTGCTGCACCAGTCACGAGGGGGCCTCCTGGGGCCCAAGAGGTTGATGAGCTGTCTCTAGTAAGAACCACTTCCTACTGTTTAAGGTGGATTTGGATGCGCCTCTGATAATCCGGCTGCATGGGTATGATAGGAAGCAAAGGTCTGAATTTTTTTCATTATAGGCTTACACTTATAACAGTACAAAAGCATTATATCTATTATTGTATACGTATACATGTGCCACGTCGTTGCTCTCATTTGATCTGCTCCATAGTAATCCTCATCGGGAAGAATATGATTGTGATGGAAAAGGAAGGTGGGGCCAGTGCATGAAAGGCTTAAGCACAACACAGTACACAGTACATCTAGTCCTCGACTTACGACTGGTTGCTTGTCCATTTGAAATTACAACTGGTGTGGAATGAGTGCCTTACACCCCACAAAGCACTTCTGGCCGTCATAAAATGTGCCACATATCCCACTCCCCATATCACATGACCCCATTTTGGCTGCTTGACAACCGGCTTGCCCTTATAACCAGTTGCATTGTCCCATGATCACGTGAGTGCAATTTGCAATGGTTTTTTTTTTGCTGGTTTCTGGCATTTTTTGCTGGTCTCCGGCAAGCCCATTCAGAAAAATGGGTTTGCACTTATGACCATGCCATTCGGTTAATGACTGTTGCGTCACTTAGCAGTCACAGTGATTTGCTTAATGACCACCACAGAAAATGTCATAAAATCATGTCTTGTCACATGGGTACCTTAACTTACAACTGGAGTGACATACAACTGGAAATCCGATCCCAGTTGTGATTGTAAGTCGAGGACTATCTGTATTCATTTCAAATACTATTTATTCTAGGGATGCCCACTATTCAACATTTTCTCTCGTCTCTTAAATTTTTTCTTATGTCACATTTTCATGTCTGTTAAGGAAATGCACATGATTCTGTAAAATGTGACATTTACTTTGCATGAGTAGTCATGATATAGGGCAAGCTGCTATGCAGTATTTTCTCTAAAACCACCAGTTCTAGTACAATAATTTAATAAATTGTTCTGAGATTTTATAGACTCAGCTAATAGTTGCCTCTGGACAATCTTGGAAGCCAAATGAGCTAAAACTGAACTAATTAATATTTGGATGAGAGACATCAGATATCACTAGGAAATACAAGATACCACTACTGCTGTTGCATGCTTTTGTCCATGTAGTCATCAGAAATTGAAGTACACTCAAAGAAGTCTTTAGCTCACATAATGCCTAATTTCCAAGGGTCTTGAAGCTTGCTTCCTGTAAAGAAACTTGTTTTCACAAGAAAAATTGACATTTGTGGGAAATGTTGAGTTCTGGATTGAGGCATGCACCCCAGTCTTCTCTCTTGAGATAGCAGCACTCAGAACTGTATTGGGAGTTTATCTAGACCAGTGATAGCGAACTTATGGCACGCGTGCCAGAGGCGGCACTCAGAGCCCTCTCTGTGGGCACACCTGCTACCACCGCCGCCAGCTTGCGCAGGTCCATTAGGCCACTGCTGGTGCCCGGAGCAGCAGCCCCCCCCAGCACAAAGGTGAAGCAGGTGGCTAGCAAGCTTGAGTAGAGGTGGTAGAGCACGCCCCCATGTGCTTGCTGGCCTCTATGTGCGGGGGCTGATGGTGTCAGGCAGCAGCTGCCCTGCCTCGCCTTGCCCCACAGCAATGGCACCCCCACCCTACCCCCTGCCTCACCCCATAGGACAAGCCTCCTGCCCACTGCCCCACCCACTTTGGCACTTTGCAATAAATAAGTGGGTTTTGGGTTGCGGTTTGGGCACTCGGTCTCTAAAAGGTTCGCCATCACTGATCTAGATAGTGGGCCTTCTGCAGTTGATTTTCTGTGGTTTATATTCCTCAGTACATGGTATTATTAGCCAACCAACAGGTAAGAGCAAAGAAAAGAGCATTATGGATAACAGCCTCTCTGCTAATAGAAAATATTGCTGCTTGTAATCCAGGTTTCACTTAATAAGGAAAGACCATTATGGAACACTGAAGCTTCAATGTTCCTTAATGTCCTTTCCCAAAATATGCTTTTATAGGACAGGGGCATTCTTCGCTTCAAGCAGAATTTTTGCACAGGAGAGCAGGAACATAGCTGTAAATTCCAGGCTCTCATCCAGCCATCCCACTTCCCTATTATCTACCATTAATGAATTTTGTGATTTCTAAAAGTGTTATAGTGGCATCTAGTGGTAAGAAGTACACATTTCCATGTCACAAAATTCCCTGTGTATTTCTCTACATATCACACACACACACACACACACACACACACACACACACACACACATTGCACAAATTTTATGTATGTATGTGTGTGTGTGTGTTTTGTTTTTAATATTCTTAATTATATATATATATATATATATATATATATATATATATATATATATATATATATATATGATGTATACGTTGCACAAGGAAGGAAATAACTTTTTAATGTTTTATCATTGTAGAAAGTTTACAACTAGAGGATCAGATTAGTATTGCACTATATTGTATTAAAAAGAGTTTTAAAATTTTGATTATGGGAACTAATTGAATATATGTCATTTGGACAATCCTTAAAGATTTGCTTTTCTGACACATCCTCACCAGAATTGATGGTTGGTTAAGGTTCCCATGTTGCCCTCAGTGAGAGAGTGGGGAATGTGAATTTCTATTTTTTTAAAAACAGATATTCTGGTCATGTAATCAGAAAAAAATAGGTTATGTTATCAGTTATTTTAAAATAATTTTCTCAGATTTGGGATTTTTTTGATGGAATATAATATCTGTTTTATAGACATCTTAAACTCACCTCAAACTAAGGAAGAAAATGTATCTTTTGATTGCTTCATGAGCTGTTCAATTAATTAATTGAAACCCTTGTTAGACTGTTACATTCAATTGATTTCTTTGGCAGGAGCTTATGCCTACTTCCTGATTCATAGTCAAATTAGCATCTGAAAATAAATCACAAATTAGGACAAAGAGGAAGGAGAATATTCCAAATTTTCAGAAACCAATTTAATACCATCGGCCATGAGTCTGGAAACCTACCAGCAGCCTTTTTAAACTTGATTCCTCTGAATGTGAGAACAGCATCTTTTCACAAACTGCTATTGAAATTGAGCTTTGACTATAGCTTTGGCTCAGCATATCAAAATATGCTAAATTTGAGAGGCTGTTTTAAACTATAAAGGCATGTTTTTTCTCTCTTTGTGTCTTAAAAAAGGAGTCGGAAATTTGAAACTTTCACACTGGAAAATATTCATTCTCCAACCCCACTTTCTACTTGTTTGTCTCTAGGTTGAAGAAAATAATATGCTACATACTTGTATTTAGCTTAACATTCAGCTTGGCTCGTATTCAGCTTAAAGGTCCCATGAGGTCAATGTTGAAACATAATTCTACCTCAGCTACTATGGCTGGCTCACAGCATACCATCCCTATGTTGGCTTTTTAGGAACAACTTCCAAAAATTTTAGGAAGTTTTTTTGGAAAGGACTTGCAGTAAATTTAAAAGTACTAGGAGAAACTGCCTTCCTTGTAGGCAGAGGTGGTGAACTATGGCCCTTTTATGACATGTGGACTTCAACTCCCAGAATTCAGGAATTCTGGGAGTTGAAGTCCACAAGTCATAAAAGGGCCATAGTTCCCCACCCATTATAAGGTGTATCTTCCAATTCTGGCAGTTAATCTGTTTCCCAAAAGTTGCATGATGTTTATATTGTCAACATTTTTTCAGGGCTTATTGATATAATATATAATTCCTACCTTTATACAATTATGTAAAATAAATTTTATTTCTTGCACTCATCAATGAAAGCTTGCTGTGACTTTGAATTATTATTATATACATAAAAATGTATATAATGTGAATGTGAAATCACTGTTGCCAGTTCTTTAGCTGGTGTCAGCCTCCATATACATTGGGTTCTTCCTAAGAATTTGGGAGATCATAATGTATTGGCGTTACTATTTTTATTATTTTCATGGAATGGCAAGTCAGATTAATTGCAGCAATAAATTCAGGGGTTTTTTTTAAATTTGGATTTGCCAAGTTATTGCTGGCCTTTAGTCTTCCTGTGATGCATCTTCCTCGTGATCTTGATTCATATGATCCTTTATCTTTTTTTCTGCGTGTTAAGGAAAATGATGAAATTCTACTCATGTTCAGGGGAATGGGACTTCTTTCTATAATGGGGAACATCCATGGAACCATTCCAATTTTTTTGAGAATTTTCATTTTATATGGAAGAAATGAGATGCTCTTTGCTACTGAAAGCTGCCTCCTAAACATAGCAACTCAACTACCATACCCTTTCCTGACAGCCATGAGTATGATTTTGATATTTTGATTTTTATATTCTCTCTAATATAGAAGAAAGGGAGGGTTGTATGAATAATGCTAAAATAATTTTTTGGCGGGGAGATAGGCTGTTAAATAAAGTATTTAACTAACACTGTGGCTTTTAGTTTGGATCTCTACCTCACTTATCCTATGAATGTGTTTGAGTGTATTTAGGGAACGTAAAAAGAAGTGACTACTATTCATTTATGTAGAAATTTCTACTCTTTCACCATTTCCCCTTCTAGCTAAAGAAGTTGCTTCTCTCGCCATCCAATGTGCCTCCAAGCTATGAGGTTCAAAGAGAGGGGAATATATGGCGTCAAGGAACTCCTAAATCCAGACCTCAGCGCTCCTGTACAAAGGTATTGTTCTTCTTGGCAGCTATAGCTTTACATAACAGTGGACTATGTTTATGTGTGATGATAAAATTTTTCTCAGGAATATTGCAAAGTTGTCATATGTTCAGATTATTGGCAGTGACTCTTCAGAATCATGTTCCGGGTGATGTTTTTCCTCTTCATTTCACCTTTATAACAGATCAAATAATTTCTGCCACCGAGAGCTCCTATGAAGGTTGGGTAGTTGTTCTCTCCGTAATCTGTAGTCCTCCTTCCCCTACGTTTCTTCTCATAGGCAAACCATAACAACAACCAGTTGCTTATTTCTTTCAAACGCTTTAAGAATGGTGCTGGGAATGTTGTTCTGCAAGATAGTTCTATTCTTTCTATTTGATCCACCTGAAGATTAAGGGGCATTAGAAAGGCACACTTTGGATAAGTCATGCCAAAAAGACAGAACTTGGATCCTTCTGCATATAACAGATATGTCATTTATTATGAACACAATGTACAAAGTGATAGAACTATCCAGTTGTTAAAATCAATTGTTTAAAATCACACAGGAGGCCATTAAAGGTTTTTCACTTGGATGAGGAAATTATGCAGTGTATTAAATAAATGAATTTGGATTGCATAGGGAAAGATAAGGAAGATGGGAAGACAGAGCGTAATGAAAACGGGGGTGGGGGTAGATATTAAGCCTCCTGTGCCTAATGTCATGTTTGTTATATATGTCATATGGACAGAAAATTGACTGAAGAATCTCTGCATACCATACCTCTGAAATCTTTAAAAGCAGCTTTTTAAAAACCATTCTTTTCCCTCTTGTTTCTCTTGCTAGTTCCTTTGAAAATCTTCTGGCCTCCACTCTTGATTTCTGAATAAGTTTAATGTATCTCCACAGTTATACCTTTCAGGTCTCAACGCTGCTAACATTGGATGTTTTTGCACTAACAACAGATGGAAATGCAGTCATATTTTTCCTTTCGCTTTTAGAGCTAGATGATGCTGGGAGGGGGGGATGTGAATGAGAGTCCAGTTAGACATAACAATACTAAACCTAGCCTGAGAATCAAGGTTATTGAGCCCAGAGCTGATTGGCAGGCTGGAGAGCTGGAGAGGAAGCCGACGCTTCAAGCTAATTGGGGAATGTGATTTATGACAGTTAATTAGAGGAGGGAATTATGCTTTGATACTATGTGCCCAGGGGAGGGGAATTCAGTTTTTGGCTTCGATTATGCAGTGCCAATATTATGCTACTCAAATAAAAGATTCTTTAGGTAAACAATGCCTCGAAGTTTACCTGTCAGAACCACGACATCAGATTTTTCTGCTTCCTGATATAGACAGACAGATAGATAAGAAACAAAGATAAGGACTTTTTTCAAAGTAAATTTCTATCTATCCTGTATTGTGCACAGATGATCAAAGGTTTTTTAAGGAATCTGGAAAAGCATCAAAACATTAATCCTGATACTGGTTTCCAAAGATGTAACATATTACAGTTCAAGAAATAATCTGTTTTTTCTTATTGCTGTGTTAAAGTATAAAAAAATTGGCTGACATATTAGTATAGAAAAAAAGCTTGGAAGAATCCTATAATTAAGGATCCCCCTACTCTAATTCATTCTCAGTGTCTTAGGTATATTAACCTGTCTTTTGTATAGATTACATTCATCTATACAAATATCTCTTTTATGAGAGGAAATATTGAATATGGATATTTAAGTGTATTTCTCTTTAAGATTACATATATTTTGTATTTTTCTTTATATTATTTTAAGCCATTTTCATTTTTATTGATAGTTTCAATTAAAATGAACTCAAAAGAGTGGCTAGAAGGACCAAAAGTATATGGAATTTCAGAAACTGGAAATTAGCACTCACAGCACAGGGGTTACTTGCTGGGTTAATGTGATTCTCCTCTACCTTATATCTTTTTAGCTGCTGAAATTGGTATGTATATACAGGATGTAGCTTAGCTGCAACTACTGAATTATGCATCACAGCTAAATGATTTGTTTCTTGCCATTGCCATCATGTCTGGGCAGCTTGGGAGATACCTACTATACACACACACATAATGTGTGTGTGTGTGTGTGTGTGTGTGTGCGTTGTTAAATGCAAAGGTTGATGTTAGGCACATTGCCAAACAATCCCAAACAAGCTCTAAGTCCTCTAGTAACGCTATTGCATCCCCACTGATCCACCTTTCAGACAGTATATTTATGCACACATCTTTCACTGCTTTAATTTTTTAGAAATGAAAATAAAGGAACTTTTCCCCTGCAGCAAGAGTCTTCCCACATTGCAGCTGTGTTTCCACTCCCGTCCATTTTCTGCAACCACTTATGCCATCCAAATTGCAGGATTGGAACTTATGCAATAAAAACAGTGAAAGGGAAAGTACTCCCATCGCTTGGCACTTTATCAGCTGTGCCCGGTCTCAAAAGGCAAAGAAAGTAATCAAAAGAAGCCAACTTGCATATACAATGCTATGGAACTAAGCCCGTGATGAAAGATAAGAGATTCCTGCAGAGATGGATGGACAATGACCTAATCTCTGTAAAACACCTCCTTAGGAATCAGAATGAAAACCCAGCCCATACTGTGCATAAATGCTTATAAAAACTATACTTTTCAAATGTGGCTAACAAATATGGCTAACAAATACTATAACACACAAATGTGCAAAGAGGGGAAGACTGTTATTCCCAGTAACGAAACAATATACAGATGCAAAAGCAATTCTTGAGGGCTTTCTATTATGTCTTTCTTTCTATATTAGTCCTTTAAGCCCATATTTTTGGATGTGAAATTAAATTATATATATATGGTGCTTAATAAATGACTTTAAATAGAATAGAATGCCAAAGTTTCTGTAGAAATCATTTGAAAATTCCAGCCAAGCCAAACACATTTAGTTTATTAGAGCAATGGTTGTTCCAGTCTTCTCTGAATAAAACAACATGCACAATAAAATACAACTCTTACACAATTAAGCGCAGGTAAGAAACAAGACAATTTTCCACTGTACTTACAGAGTCTTTCGGCAAAATCAGCTTATATGAGTAAATCATGGGAGTTATGAGTTACATTTGTTGGTATGTGAAACTGAAGTACTAGTATACAAGGGCAGTTATGATATAGTTGCCGCTATTGAAACTTGGTGAGATGAAACTCAAGACTGCAATGTAGTGATGGAAGGATATAAAGTGCTCAAAAGAAACCAATGTAACAAAAGAGGAGGTCCAATTGCATTATATATGAGAGATCACTACATCTCTACAGAAATGCATAAAAGCAAGGATGAAAGCCTCCTAAAGTGCATATGGGTTAATATATAAAGAAAAAAAGAATGACATTGCCATAGGTGTATACTACAGGCCATCCAACCAAGCAGAAGAAATAGATGAACCTTTTGTTAGTCAGTTAACTAATGTATGTAGAAAACACACCAAAGTAGTAATGGGGTGCTTTAACTACCCTGACATCAATAGGGAAACAAACTCTGCACCAAGCGGAAAATCAAACAGGTTCCTGATCCCTCTAGCTGACAATTTAGTCATCCAAAAGTAGAGGAACAAACCAGAGGGACAACTATACTGGACCTAATTCTTACTTACAGAGAAGAACTGATAAGGGAGTTGAAATTGCAGGAAGTTTGGAGAGTGACCATGTCATATTGGAATTCAACATAATGCAGGCACAAATAATAGAATATAATCAAACCAGTGTCTTAGACTTTAAAAGGGCTTATTTCAACAAACTTAGAGCTTGGGAAGTAGTAGTAGTAGTAGTAGTAGTAGTAGTAATAAAGTTGGAAGGGACCTTGGAGGTCATCTAGTCCAACCCCCTGCTCAGGCAGTAAACCCTATACCATTTCAGACAAATGGCTGTCCAATCTCTTCTTAAAAAGTCCCAATGTTGGAGCATTCACCGCTTCTGGAGGCAGATTGTTCCATTGGTTAATTGTTCTGTCAGGAAGTTTCTCCTTAGTTCTAGTTGCTTCTCTCTTTGATTGCTTCTTGCCTTATCTTCAGGTGCTTTGGAGAATAGCTTCACTCCCTCTTCTTTGTGGCAACCCCTGAGATATTGGAATACTGCTATCATGTCCCCCCTCATCCTTCTCTTCGTTAAACTAGACATACCCAATTCCAGCAACCGTTCCTTATATGTTTTAGCCTCCAGTCCCCTAATCATCTTTGTTGCTCTTTTCAGTACTCTTTCTAGAGTCTCAACAACTTTTTTACATTGTGGTAATCAAAACTGGATGCAGTATTCCAAGTGTGGCCTTAGCAAGGCATTGTAAAGTGGTATTAATACTTCATGTGATCTTGATTCTATCCCTCTGTTAATGCAGCCTAGCACTGTGTTGGCTTTTTTGGCAGCTGCAGCACATTGCTGGCTCATATTTAAGTGATTGTCCACTAGGACTCCAAGGTCCCTCTCACAGTTACTACTATTGAGCAAGGTACCACCTATACTATATCTGTACATTTGGTTTTTCTTGCCTAAATGTAGAACCTTGCTTTTTTCACCATTGAATTTCATTTTGTTAGATAGTGTCCAGTGTTCAAGTCTGTCCAGATCCTTCTGTATCTTAAGTCTGTCTTCTGGAGTGTTGGCTATTCCTGCCAGCTTGGTGTCGTCTTCAAATTTGATGAGTTCCCCATCTATCCCCTCATCCAAATCATTGATGAAGATGTTGAAGAGCACTGGGCCCAGAACAGAGCCCTGGGGCACCCCACTACACACTTCCCTCCATGTAGATCCGGTTCCAATGAGGACCACAGGCTGAGTATGGCCGGTCAGCCAGCTATGGATCCATCTGGTGGTGATGCTGTCTAACCCACATTTTTCTATTTTATCAAGTAGTAGGTTGTGATCTACTTTATCAAATGCCTTACTGAAGTCCAAGTAAATTATGTCCACAACATTCCTCTGGTCCACTAATTTTGTCACTTGATCAAAGAATGCAATAAGATTTGTCTGGCATGATCTGTTTTTGTCAAACCCATATTGGATTTTAGTAATGACTTTGTTTGCCTCTAGGTGTTCGCTGATTTGTTGTTTGATTATCTTTTCCAGAATCTTCCCAGGTATTGAGGTCAGGCTGATAGGTCAATAGTTTCCTGGATCTATTTTTTTCCCTTTTTTGAAGATGGGAACTACATCAGCTCTCTTCTGGTCCTCTGGTAGTTCCCCTGTGCTCCAGCATCTTTGAAAAATATAGTTCAGTGGTTCTGAGATCACATCTGCCAGTTCCTTGAGAACCTTGGGGTATAATCCATCTGGTCCTGGTGATCTAGGCTAAACAGGTGCTCACTTACCATTTTCTTGCCTAACTTAACTTGTGTTTCTAATCTGTTTTTTATGGCACTATTTTTGATAGGTTGGTCTATTTTTTCCCTTTGTGTAAAGACAGATGCAAAAAACGTGTTAAATGGTTCTGTTTCTCCCTATTGCTTGTCACCTTCTTGCCACTTTCCCCCACTAATGGACCAATCATTTCTTTAACTTTTTTTGTTTTTTACATGCTGAAAGAAGCTTTTTTTGTTAGTTTTGACTTTGGTTGCAAGCCTTAGTTCATTTTGACCCTTAGCTTTCCTCACTTCATCTTTGCAGGCTCGGGCTATTTGTTGATATTCTGCCTTAGTTATGTGCCCCTCTTTCCACTTTTTATACTTGTCCTTTTTATCTTTCAATTTATCAGAGAGTTCTTTATGCAGCCATGCTGGTTTCTTTTGAGAGGTATTATTTTTCTTCTTTGTTAGTATTGTGCTTGACTAGGCTTTTATTATCTCACTTTTCAAAATTTCCAAAGCTTCTTGAGTTGTTTTCCCCTTGAGGATTGTCATCCATGGAATCCTTCCCAAGCTCTTTCTAAGTGTATTGAACTTAGCTCTCTTAAAGTCCAAGACTCTAGTTTGACTGTGTTCTATTGCTTGTGCTTCCCTACTTTCCTCCTCCACCCTCCTCCTTCTTAACTCACAGATTGTAGCTTTTCCCAGCAACCTCTGGGCAGTTTAAATGAAATGGTCGTCCAATCAGCAGGGGCTCAGCTACTTTCCTCCTCCACCCTCCTCCTTCTTAACTCACAGTATTCCGTGGATGAAAATTGTAAAGGGGAAAACCACTGGAGGTTGGGAAACTTTTGAATATATGATTATAAAAGCCCAGTCAAGCATAATACCACTGAAAACCTTATACCATTCAAGACAAGTGGCTGTCCAGTCTCTTCACAACTTCTGAATGCAAGCTGTTCTGCTGGTTTAATTGTTCTCACTGTTAGGAAATTTCTCATTAGTTCTAGGTTATTTCTCTCCTTGATTAATTTCCATCCATTGCTTCTTGTCTTGTCTTCTGATACTTTGGAAAATGGGTTGACCCCATCTTCTTTGTAGTAGCCCTTCAAATACTGGAACATTCCTATTATGTCATCCATAGTCCTTCTTTTCACAAGACATACCCAATTCCTGCAATTGTTCTTCATATGTTTTAGCTTCCAGTCATCTAATCATCATTGTTGTTGTTCTCTGCACTCTTTCCAGAGCTTCAACATTTAGATGTAGTTCCATTAATGACTACATGTTGAGTGTGGTTTGTCAGCCAGTTATAAATTCATCTAGGGTGATGCTATCCATCCCAAATTTTCTTACTTACTAGAAGTAGGTTGTGGTCTACTTTGGGAAATGCCTTACTGAAATCTAAGTATACTATGTCCACAGCATTTTGCGTGGTCCATTAATTTAGTCCCTTTGACAAAGAATGACACTTGTTAGTTGTGTTAAATGCTTGTGCAAGCTGAAATTTCACTCTGTTCCTCTTTGACACTTGTTTTATGGATGAGAAATCAATAGTCCTCTTTTTGTTGAGAAGACCTCCCTGGCCATGGTGGTGAGAATTGGTTGCCTTATTGTTATTTCATGAATAAACCAACAGCATTTGCACAATAATATCCACAATATTATATAAAACATAAACATCTCAGAGGGAATAGAAGCCGAATTTAGAGAAATAATAAGCAGCCACCAGAAAATCAGCTTCCGCAAATTCTCTGGAAATAGAAAAGAGCAGGGGTCTCCAATCCCCAGTCCGTGGACCAGTACTAGGCTGTGGCATGCCAGCAACTGGTCTTCACAAACAAGCAAAGACCCATCCATGAGATGGGTCCGCAGAAAAACCTGTCTCCACCGGTCCCTGGTGCCCAAAAGGTTGGGGACTCTGGAGTAGAGCATATTACTTGTATCAATGAATCTGTCTCTTAAATTACTTCTTTTTGAATTAAAGCCAGAACTTTCTGTCATTTAAGTGATAGAGAAATGTCATTAAGAATGATTCTTCCATTGTTTTATTACCTAATATGAATCTATGATGTTTGATATGGATTGTTGAAAAAAAAATCATACCATGTTATCTTACTAGTTTGTCAGCAATTAAGTATAGGCATTAACTGTTGAAACAGCCATTCTTAAGGATATGAAATATGTAAAGATGTGAATGATCTCTGCTGTAATATCCTCAACCGCCTAAAGTAAAGAAATGGATAAACTTCGGATGTCTTTTTGATGTAGCTTCACTTCCTTTTTCCTTTGCCTTTGAAGGTGGAAGGAGTCCAAGACAGAAAGTCAACTTTTCCCCAGGCTCAGAATCGGAACTGCACTGAGCTTCATAAACATCTTACCACAACCACCAGCAAACACTGCCTACACAGAAAAAACAGTGGGCCACTAGACGAGTGTCATGCTGACAACATTAGCATCTGCTCTGTACCCCAGAGACATTATATCCAAAACAAAGAAGACAGCAGTTTAAGTAAAGATGCCTTGAATTGCGGCAACGTTGCAATGCCTCCTCTCTCTTCCTCTGAGAAAAGCACCGGAGACAAGGAACTTCATGCTGCAGTGGAGCTTATCCACTACATGCATACTTACTGCCTTCCTCCAAGAAAGCTGCCCCCCACACATCCTGCTGAGGGGAAACACCAGCCTTTTCACAGCCCTTCCAAAAGAGCAAAGCCAGATTCCCCCCTGCAGCAGCCTCCACTCTGTGGGAATGATAATTGCCCATCCAGTCCTTGGTACTTCTCCATGCACTGCAAACAATCCCGAACTCCGCTTTCTGAATTTTCCATCCTGAAAGAACTGCTTGCCAGAGAACTCCCATGTGATGTGAGTAAGCCATATCGGTTAGCAAAACCTGTGTACGCCTCCTTGGCCAGGTCACAGCTTCACAAATCTTCAAGAACTTCACTTCACAATGCTGGGAGGGACTCTTTGGATGGATATAATAAGCCCGCAACCAAAATAATACCAGAAATGAAAACTGAGCTGAGACAGATTCTCAAAGTAGAGCCCGAGGCTGAAAAAGAAACTGCGGAAAAGGATAGTGCAAAACAAGGGACTCACATGGGTCAGGGATCCTATGGGAAGTCAAGCCGCAAGCAGGATCCCTTTATTTATGCAGTGCGTCGCTCTAAAAGGCTTAACCCTGAGCTCAGCGTTTGGCAGTCTTTCTTTGATAAGCCTCCCTCAGAACCTGCAGTGTCCTCAGTGACCACAGCAAACACATTCGCTTCAGCAGAGCCTGCCCTCTGCTCATCTTTGCAAAACTTTGATACAGACGCACCAGCAGCAGAAGTAGAAGTGAGTGGTGCTGATGAGATGGATGGGGGATTCCAGAGTTTCCCAATGGAATTGCAGACCCCTTCGCCGGACAGTTCTAGAGAGAGTCAGTGCTTCACCCCCTGTCATCAAACAGGTATGTCGGAGAGGAGAGCCCTGTCATTCTGTACCCAGCATTTCTGGAAGAGAAAAATATGCCTTATCACGATAAGACAATAACAGATTACCAGTCCTAGCATTCTTCAAGAATTCTGCCTGGTATGATATGATCTCATATTCTCCTAGATTGATTGAATATCTTAAATATTGTTGAAGAGAAATTTCTTTCCCCAGACCAGATACATAGATCATCTCCTATAAAATTGTGTATTGAAAAAAATAATGGGAAGGTGGCAAAGAAAGAGTTTGGTTAATTGAATTGACCCAGGTCTGACAAGAAATAGATTATAGAAGCTCAGTGTGCTTGATATGAGTCACACACTGAGGGAGAAACAAGAAGGTTCTGAACTGTTGTGTTCCAATTGTGTCATAATCCATCCACTCAGGACTCAGTCATATAGGGTAGGAAAATAATTCCTCCATGTCTGTTGCTAAATTAGGGACAGACACGGGGAAAACTGAATCAGATTACTATTTCAGCATTGAGAGAGATGATTTATTCTTTTCCATATGATGTTTCCCAAAGCTCCTCTCCTCTCTTCTCTATTAATCATAGAGTGGAAGCAGACAATAAAATTCAGTGTGGTGTGGTGGATCATTTCAATATGAAAAACTGCATGAAAGAAAAATTAATCTCTTCTTCATCTCCAATACAATTCATCTACCCTGCTCTGGTTACAAAATAGAAGATAAACCATGTATCTTCCATGGCTCACCTCATTTGACCATAATCTGCTTTCTCTCTTACTAATCCAGTTTGTGGGCAGAGATATGACCAATTGAATCAATCTGCTTTTCTCTGTTCTTTGTTTCAGAAGCACCACGGTGTCTGTCATTGCCCTTGGCACAAACGTAAGTGCAATACCCGAAATATATCTTGTGAAAGGATGATCTCTCTAAGTGTCAGAAGCCAGAAAATCTGGCAAATGGCAGTCTCAGAATTTTGCAATCCTGATAACCAAGCTGCGCCTTCAGTATTGTCTGGTTGATAACTATCCTTATACTAAGCTGCTTGTGTACTAAGAGGACTTCTGGCGCAGGAGCTTAATGTCAAAATAATTCACTACTGGGTAAGAACTTCATAGTGCAGCTAAACATTTAATAGAAAGGGAGATGCAACTCACCCAAGAAAGACTCCAAATGCCTTGTCTAGAACAGCGGTAGTCAACCTGGTCCCTTCTGCCCACTGGTGGGCAGTAGGGGTTTTGTCCGATACTGAAGCATTTTCTTTTTTTTTTAATTTAACTGACTTTTTAAAAAAATTTCATAGCATTATTTAAAAACATTATCATTAAGTTTTCATAAAATTCCCCGTGACAATTTAAATTTCTGAAAATATACTATTTGTATCGCCTGCACATAAGTTTAGTTCACATTACGTAAGTGAAACTAAATGGCGCTATAGTGCGATCGCAAACAAGAGCCTCATCTCAGAATAGCTCGTGCATCTTCCCCCACACCACCCAGCTGTAACAGACAAGCAGAGCTGGTAGCCGGCGCCCCCCCAAACCCAATCCACGATGCATGAGGGGCATGTGCAGATGACGATACACGGCGCAGGCTCTTTTGTTTGCGGTTGCACTGGTCAGTATGCAGTTAGATTTGTAAGAGTGAGCACGTGCCTACAGCTTCAAACAAAATATTGTGAGTCCATGTCTCAAAAAAAGAAATATGCTCGTGGCTATTTGCCAGAGTATCTGAAGATGGGTTTCATAGAATCTGTTGTAAATAAACAACATCCAATATGTTTATTGTATCATAAAACATTATCCAATGAGGCAATGAAGCCAAGTCGATTGCGAGAACATCTTTCTACAAAGCATCCAAATGATAAGGACAAGCCCATTGAATATTTTCAGGAAATATATAAAAAATTTCAAAATTGTTCAACAATCATTGCATCATTTAAGAAACAACATGCAGCAAATGAAGATGGATTAATTATCGCTTATCACATTTCACAATTAATTGCAAAAAGTGGTAAAAGCTATAATATTGGAGAAACTGTAATAATACACTCTAGAAAAGAATTTATCTCAATAGTAATGCATCAGGATATACCTAAAATTTTAAAAACGTTGCCCCTAAGCGATAGCACAATAAAGCGGCGAATTGGAGAAATGGCAGTTAATGTTGAAAAAAAACTGATAAGTATTGTCCAAAACTCTTCATTTTCCATGCAATTGGACAAGTCTACCATTGCACATAATAATGCTTTATTGATGGCATATGTACGTTATTTTAATGAAAACAATACATTACGAGAAGAAATGATATTCGCAATAAATCTCATTACAAATACAAGAGGATTATCTATATTTAATACTGTGAAATCATACTTTACAAAAAATAATATTCCTTTGAATAATATTGTTGCATGTGCTACTGATGGAGCACCATCAATGGTAGGCCGCTATCGTGGATTTGTTGCTTGTTTGAAGGAAGAAGTGCCAAATGTTTTATGTGTTCATTGCGTGGTGCACAGACAACATCTTGTAGGAAAACATCTAAGTACAAGTCTCCATTCATCGTTAACTATAATAATTCGAGCCATAAACAAGATCAAATCCAATGCAAAAAATAATAGAATGTTTTGACAGCTTTGCCAGGACAATAACGAAGATTTTATTACGTTACTTTTGCACATAGAAGTTTGGTGGCTGTCAAAGGGTACATCTTTAGCTTGTTTTGTAGCATTATATGATAGTGTCATACAATTTTTTGAAAGTAATAATGAACCAATCTGTGTCAACAGTTAAAAACAGTAAAGAATGATGCCTTTTATTTGGCAGATATTTTCAAGAGATTTCATGATGTCAATTTGCAGCTTCAAGGAGCTAATAAAACTCTTATAGGTTGCCAAAGTATTGTGTCATTATTTATTGACAAACTTGAACTACTTCGTTATAATCTATTGAAGAGAGAATTTCACCAGTTTCCTGAATTATCATCTATAAAAGATGATGTAACTCCAGAGGATATTGACAGATTCAGTAGCCACCTCAATGAACTTAAATTGGACATGGAAAAACAATTTGAAGATATTTTGAAATTGAAGGTGTATGACTGGATGAAAAATTCTTTTACCGCAAATATTGAAGAGGCTAATACAACTTGCCAAGAAGAGCTGTTAGAAATTAGATATGATGAAGAAAGTAAACATAAATTTGATCGAGGTGGATATCAAAACCTATGGCAAAGTAAAAAAAAAATGCCTGTCTTATGTGGAAAATGATATTCAGTTTATTGATACCTTTCCCTACCTCATATCTTGTGGAATCAGGCTTTAGTGCTGTTAATCATATTATGACCAAAGAAAGAAACCACCTGAATATTTCCGAAAGAGGAGACCTTCGTTTGTTCCTTACAAAAATTGAGCCAGATATCCAGTATTTAGTTTCGCAGCATCAGGCTCAGGGATCTCATTAATAATTTAATTAATTAAATGTAATTTCATCAGACTTCATGCTTCTATGTATGCAAAGTATAAATAAAAAGAACTACAGTAAGTTGTTTTATAAAGATTTATTCTGCCAAATTTAGCGAAAGTCCGACATAAAGTATTTGGTAAGTAATTATTATTATATGCTTTAACTTGCTATAACTCTGCTTTATAAATTTTATAAAGTGAAGTTACTTCTCTACTTTATAAATCACCATTACTGTGGAACCGGTAGGCAGTTAGAAAATTTTACTACTAACAGAGATACAAAAGTGGGTGGTAGGTATAAAAACGTTGACTACCCCTGGTCTAGAACATAAAGCTCCATTAAGGATACTGGAACTACTGATATTATACATATGCATAACTGAACCTTTATGACAAAAGATACATCAAACTTGGGATGTTCATCATAGGCTGCATATTATAGCAAGGTTCCATCATTGCTAGATTGTTTTCCTATAGTAGGGAGATTTTAAGGGAGGAAATGCATGGACAGATAGACATTAATCTGGCAGTGATATGTCAGTGTTTATATAAAACTGTATTTCTGTATATTTCAATAACAAAGCTAAGGAAGAATGAGATGTTTGGATGGATGAAGACTAAACATTGAAGAATTTAAATTACATAGGATTACTCCATACAGAGGCAGTTTTCTTTATGCAGAAAATCTCACTGTTTCTGTGTCCATTGGTGTGCCAAAAGGCTTTATTGTTAATTAGAATGAACCTGAAAGTATAACTTGCTTTCTTCTAGTTCTTCATGAGGATAACGTTAGCAGAAAAAATGTGCCATGTTAGTATTAAGATCTCTGCTATGATGCAAATATTTATTTGCAGGAATGTCTTTGGGATTAGTTTGCTTGCAGATAAATGGATGTTTTTTTGCTGTTTGTCATTTGTGAATAAGTAAGTCTCTCCTGGCAACCATTTTGTGACTATACCAGCCACATGCTCACAAAATTTCAAATGTGCCCCTGACTTTCAAAATTCGTTTACTTGTAAATCCTTGTAATACACTGTGAGCACAATTATTAGGCAAGTTGTATTTTGGAGGATTAATTTTCTTATTGAACAACTACAGTGCTCTTGGTCAATCCAAATGTTAATTATCTCAAACCTGAATATTGAAGAAAGTAAAAATAAGATTTTAGCTATCTTAGGAGAATATCCATGTGTGCACAATTATTGGACAACTTTTAGTGTGCAGAATTAGTATGCAACTAAATGAAAAATGAAAACTTGCCCATCTCACTCATTTATTTGCATCTGTTAAAATGAGAATAATAAACACAACTCAAAATGTACAAATAAACATTTCTGACATTTCAACAAAAAAAAAATCAGTGACCAGTATAGCCACCCTTCTTTTCAATAACAGTCATAAGCCTTCCATTCATAGAGTCTGTCAGTGTCTTGATCTGTTGACGATCAACGTTTTGTGCAGCAACAACCACAGTATCCCAGACAGTGTTCAGAGAGGTGTACTGTTTTCCTTCACCGTAAATCTCCTGTTTAAGAAGGGCCCACAAGTTCTCAATAGGGTTTAGGTCAGGTGAAGAAGGGGTCCATGTCATTATTCATTCATCTTTAAGGCTTTTGTTGACTACCCATGCAGTGGAGTGCTTCGATGCATGCGATGGAGCATTGTCCTGCATAAAAATCATGGTCTTATTGAAAGATGCAGACTTTTTCCTGTACACTGTTTGAAGAAGGTATCTTCTAAAAACTGGCAGTAGGTTTGGGAGTTGATTTTGAGTCCATTTTCAACCCCAAAAGGTCCAACTAGCTCATCTTTAATAATACCAGCCCATACCAGCACCCCACCTCCACCATGCTGAGTCTGAGTCGAAGTGGAGCTCTATGCCCGTTACTGATCCAGCCAAAGGCCCATCCATGTGGTCCATCAAGAGTCACTCTCATCAGTTGATAAACCTTTTAAATATGTCTTCAGATATTTCTTGGCCCAGTCTTGCCATTTCAACTTATGTGTCTTATTCAGTGGTGGTCAGGTTTCAGCCTTCCTTACCTTGGCCATGTCTCCAAGCACTGAGCACCTTGTACTACTGGGCACTCCAGGTAGGTTGTAGTTCTGGAATATGACAGCACTGGAGGATAATGAATTCCTGGTAGCTTCATGTTTGATTCTTCTCAAATCTTTGGCCATTAACATGTCTCTTTTTCTCAACACGTTTCTTGTGACCCGGTTAACTATTTGCAACAAAATGTTTGATGGTTCTGTGATCATGCCCCAATATTTTAGCAATTCAAGAGTGTTTCATCTGTCTGAAAGACTTTTTTCAATTTTTTTACTTCAGAGTCAGTTAAATCTCTTTTTTGGCCCATTTTGCCTGAGGAAAAAAAGCTGCCTAATAATTATGCATACCTTGATATAGGGTGTTGATCTCCTTAGGCCACACCTTCTCTCATTACACAAATACACATTACCTGATATCCATTAAGGTTGAGGACCCCTGCATTAAGCTTTTAGATTTCTACAGCTTGGCAGTGGAAAATATGCGGGAAAATGATGATATGGTCAAAATACTCACTTGCCTAATAATTGTGCACACAGTGTAGAAGTGTGAGCTTCCATTTATAAAAATGTAACGGGTATCTGTATAAGTTTTCAGGTTGGGTTTTATTAGTTTATATTGGTTATTTGAGACCTTTTGGTTGTTTATGTGGAAGTTAAAAGAGTTCCTTTCAAGCCTGTCAACTTCCTTACATAGTTATCTGGAGATAATCCCAGTTCATTAGTTGCTACCAGATGAGTGCCCATTTATCTAAGCTTGTTAAAAATTAGCCATTTAAATGACAGCCATGAGGTGTCCTCCCCATGTGACATTTTATTTTTAAAGCTCCTTTCTATTTCATTGTGTGAATTCCTCATTTTTAATGGAGGCCTTGGCTTTTCCATAGCCATTTCATTCTACTCTTCTCATTTTTAGAGAATCAACACTCGGGAAGCGCAGCTTTGACCAAGTTCTGACTGTAGAGCTGTGTGGCACTGCAGGTAAGGGCATAATTTAGATTTAAGTGTTCATTATTTTTAAAGATGCAAATATAGAGAAAAGACTGCACCCAAAACCAGATTATCATATATTCCTGTATTTAATCATTAACATGAAGGACAAGGAATCTAGGCACCCTTAAACCCTATTTGATTTTCCCTTCCTTAAAAAAAACAACTGCAGAATAGTACATCTTTGAGTGACAAGTATTTTGGAACACTGTAGTCATCTTATAAAGGCAAAAGACTGAATACAAATAGCATTGCACATCCCCAGTTCAACTGTGTTATTTGAAGGCTCCACAAAGGGGTGGGAATGGATTAAAAAATAGACCTAACTCCTAATACAGCAATGTCTCTTTATTCTCCTGATCCTATACTGAAAGAGTTTTATCCTTTTGCTTCCTTGGGGGAGATAAGGTCTCACACCACCAACTACTCCTCCATACAAGCCTTCGGAAGAGGACCTATATAAGCCAGACATTCACCAGAGACCAGCAGAGAAGACTGCTGCCATCACCAGCTCTGAGCCACAACCAATGATCAGTCATAGGCCAATTTCCAGAAAACATCAGAAAAAGCAACCAGTGCGGACAGAGCTGTATGCCCACCTGAGTCAGTCTGCTATTCAGCCTGCTCACTCTGAGCAGCATGGGGTGTTGAAACGCCCGTTCTCACGGTCTTTTGGTGATCATGATTATTGCCAAGTCTTGAAACCTGAGTATTCGCTCCAGAGGAAGGTGCTAAGATCTTGGGAGCCCCTGAGCCATATAGAAAGCCAACGCAAGAGGCAAGTGCCTGACGTTCCCTATCAGGAGGAACGCAACAAGAGTTTTGATAAAAGCTCAGTGAAGGAGGGCAGCAAACAGCTGAGGGACCAAGAAATCAGAGCCAGTTTGACCAAACACTTTGGTCTTTTGGACAGTGCCCTGGATGATGGGGAGGCCCTGTTCTTCAAAACTCCTGAATATGATACTGTCTTTGAAGACAGCTGCAGTGAGATTGGTTCTCCACTGGAAGAGGAAGAAGAGGAGGAAGAGGAGGAGGAATGCTACATGAGTCCACTGGGTTCCAACAGATGTCTACACAGTAGTGCTCTTTCTAGGACCAATTTCCACTATTGCTCCCGAAGTAGATCTGATTCAGAGTCTTCATGCTGCAGAAGTAGGTCTCCAGTCAGCCAGCAGGCTTTCAGGTACATTCATTTGCAATCAGTACTGTTTTGGGGAAAGGTCTGAAATGGTCGTAGTCAATTGCATTGGTTTGCATTGTTGGTTGCACATTAAAACTTCATACACGTTAGTTACATTTTAAAATAATGCAGTGCTGTATGAATGGTGGCTCTTCAGTCAGCCAGGGGGACTATAAGACTAAATTTTTAGAAATTTCTCAGGCAGGGTTATATATTTTCCTTATTCTTAATTTGCCATGCAGTGGGGCTATGTCTTATAAGGCTAATTTAAAAGACACTGGGCTGAATTCAAAAATCCTGTGAGCAAAGAACAGAAGTGGGAGGAATTATTTTACTGAATTAGTTCCTCCTCCAGACCTTAAAAATCTACTCCAGAAGATTGATGGACCTATTAGAACTGCACCCAAAATAGTCATGGCAGCTGCAAGGGAAATTGGGGAAATTTCCCTTTATTCCCTGATTCTGGTATACCAGCCTGGTCTGGATAGATAGCATTCCTGAATTGGAAGGAGACTCTCCATGCATAGGTTTTTGAGAACCAATAAGAAAGAAGAGATATCCTGTTCAAATGCATAGAAATAAATGTAAGATTGTTTGTAATGGAAATTAAGGCCAAAACCACAGTATGACTGGGCCTAAAAAAGATTATATCTTCAGATTTTCAAAATGTATGGTGTTCAATCATTTACTTTTATTTACTTCTTTGCTCCAATATTTAGTGGTTGGTTGTCTGGCCACCTTTAAAAAAAATTCTAAATATTTATGAATCTATAGTATCCCTGTATTTATTGTAAAATAGGTGAGACTGTTCCTGCAAGCAAGGAGTAGGTTTCTTGGAGCATTTTTCTGATTAAGATTCTCATGTCTAAGATTCAGAACAATTGGAATCCCATTTAGGTCTGTATTTCTTGTTTTCCAATAGACGTGAAAATGGCAAGCGTTGTCAAGATGGAAATGTGAGCAGCCAGAGATTGATGGAGAAAAAAAGAGAGAAAGCCATTGTAAGTGACCTGTGACCTCTCAGTGAGTTTTGGGATGAATGAACTGGAAGTGGGCAGGTTTCCAATCTGGTCAGATGATTCCTCTTTCTGAAACACATTTGAATTTTGGGAGACAGGAGTTTCTACTCAAGAAGGGGTAATACAGGATGTTAGCTAGTTTTCCAAACTCTTATTACTTGGTGCAAGTGCAGGCTGATAAATGACAGTTTCGCTCTGCCAAGAACTCAATCTGTTGCCAGTTTCTTCATTTTATTTCTTTTCAATATGTTTCTATTAGCGAGTCTTGGCACAGGCAAAACTATCCTTCCTCAGCATGCACTTCCACCGAGTAATAGAGTTTGGAATCTTGAAAAAAATATATCATTTTTAAAAAAATCATACAAATAAGAGGAGAAATAAAGTTTGCTGAAGTAAAAAAAAAAGCTGCACTTGAGGCTGGTGGCTTGATATTCAATATATCTTTTAATCAGCCACACACAGATTTATGTAAGGTAACCTTTATTGTCATTTTTTACTGCGAGCACACTGGCACACATTAAAAATGAAAATCTGTTGCCTGCTCTCAAAAGAAAGCATGTATTAACCCATACACATGCACAACACACATATACATGCTATATACATATCCAGATATATATGTTCTGCTTTGGATATCCCAAAGCCTCCTTTCAGAAGGTAACAAGGAAAACAGGTCATGAAGAGGACTTGTAGCAATCCCAGACAACCCTGCGGACCCTTTTCAAGCATTGCTTATACGCTATGTCCTAAATAGAAGAGGGTGAACTGCCAATAATCTTTTATGCCATCCTCATTTCATCCTCATTTAGCATACTTAGAACTCATCTTTCTTCTGTTGGGAAGTTTAAAGATGTTTAGGTGAGAAAACCATCTCCTATCAAGATACTTAGTCAACTGGTTAAATAAGTTGTCTGCTTCATGTCCTCTTGAACATAGTTTCCCAGTATTAGTCTTCCTACATGGTCATCCTTCTTGTAATTTAAAAGGTTAGGAGATGGTTCCTGGATGAATGGTTTGACATCCATAAACAATGGACGCCTGTGCAGCATAGGAATCTTTTCAGCAGATCTGCTGGTGAACAGGAGGCCTCCTCCTGAGGCGGCATTGTAAATCAGAAATGCTTCATAGATTTGCTGTGGTATGATTTCCTACTCATACACCAAACCTGGTGTCCTTGCTCTGAAAAATTCTTTTTTCTTTTCTTTAAAATAAAATGTGTGTTAGATTTAGTTTTAGTTTTTTAGGCCACTCTATAGACCAGACATGTCAAACACAAGGCCCGGGGGCCGGATGCAGCCTGCAAAGTGGTTTCATGTGGCCCGCGAAACCATCCTGGAAACAGTGAGGGAACAGCCCCCGCTGCCTTGGCCCTGGCCCAGGCCAGCCAGGAGCCAATGTACAATTTTGTGGTGGCCATCTATGCTGAAATTCATTCAGTCTTAGCTCCACAAGGGCGTCTGGAAACAGCAAGGGACCAGCCCCTGCCACATTGGCCCTGCCCCCTGGGTGCATGCTGGGGAGGTGTCATCCTTTGTGAGGAATGAAGAAATGGACCATGCCTTGGCGCTTTCCCCGGTCTCACCCCCTTCTGCCAGAGACCCTCAGATCTGTCCCACTCCTGCCCAGGCCCTCACAGGCACCCTTGACGCGAACGATGTAGAGCTGACCTTGCCCACCCAGTAGGCCACACCCACTCCATCCACACCCACCCAGTAGGCCACACGTACCTTGGCCACACCCACCCAGTCCTCCGAGGGCAACCGCAAAACTGATGTGGCCCTCAATGAAATGGAGTTTGACACCCCTGCTATAGACCAATTTAAAGCTTCCAAGAAAAAAAAGTGAACAGCATTTTTAAGCCAATAGTATAATTTAGTAGATTATGCCAAAGACCAGAAACTTCCATCAGACATCCATTACTGTGACTGGCTTGGCAAGCTTTAAAAAAAATCATCAACAAAAAATTACTTGTGAATTAAATCCTTCTAAACTATTCCTGTGCATTCCTTCCTTTTTACAACTTACAATTCCTCTTTCTTGGATTTTCCATCCATTCTTTTCAGGTTCTTTGAAAACCTGGATTGATAGTAAAAAAAAATAATTTTCTGACTAATATGAGTTCAAAACCAAATGGAACAAAAGTGCTTTGGCTCTTGTCTAAAATATAAAAGGGTACTATTTAATATTAAAGTAGAACTGGAGATATCAAGAATTTATCAGTTTAATACATTATATCAGGACAATTGCACGAGCAATTTACTCTTGTCTTTAAGAGCCGTGGTGGCGCAGTGGTTAGAATGCAGTATTGCAGGCTAATTCTGCCGACTGTCGGCAATTCAATCCTGAAAGACCCAAGGTTGATTCAGCCTTTCATCCTTCCATCTGTAAAATGAGGACCCAGATTGTTTGGGGCAATATGCTGACTCTGCAAACTGCTTAGAGAGGGCTGTATAGCACTGTGAAGCAGTATATAAGTCTAAGTGCTGTTGCTGTTAAACAGGGAGAAGGTCGTGTAGTATACATCCAAAATCTTGCCAGCAGTATGAGCTCTAGTGAACTGAAGAAGCAGTTTGAAGTGTTTGGAGAGATTGTTGAGTGTTGCATTTTGACCAAGAATAAAAGGTGAGTTTTCCTTATCTCATTATTAACCCTGGCAGCGACATTTTTTTTTGAAATCATGACTATTTGTAAATTAGCCATGATATTCTATAACTAAAATTAAAATCGGACTCCAAAGTTTAGTAGCTGGATAATTCTTTTTCTTTGGAGAAACATCTGCCCTGAGTACCCTGTGAATGCAAAGGTTGAGAATTAATTGAAATAGTGTACCTATTAAGAAGTAAGTTAAATAAGTTAAACCTTTTTGCTGAATAAATATGTATAAGGATTGCAGTGTGAAACTCGTTTTTTCCTCAGCTGTATTATATTTGTTTTGGCTAAGAAACTGTCATTAAATTCCCTCATCATTTAATTCTGTAAGGACTAGCACCGCTGTGTTGCATAGAAGATGCAGCACTTCTTTGATGCAGCACAATGGATTACTATTACTTAGCATATGTGTATGTAATTTAATTGTGCTACATGCAGAAGCAGAATTAATTTGGAGTAGTTCCATCCAAGCTTGAAAGTTTTGAGCTCAGAACTCTTCCAGAATGATCAGAATAGCACTGGTGCCTTTCTAATAATGTTTCAAGTGAAACACAGGGCATTTAAGTTAAAAAATATTCTGTGTGTGTGTATGTACACACTGGAAAAAGTGACTTATGACCATTTTTTTACACTTACGACCGTTCCAGCATCCCCATAGTCACATTATTACTTTCAAAATTTGGCTGCTTAGGAAATGACTCATATTTATGACAGGTGTCCTAGGGTCACATGATCACCTTTTGCGGCCTTCTTACAAGCAAAGAATGGGAAAGCCAGATTCACTTAACAACCATGTTACTAACTGAACAACTGCAGTGATTCCCTCAACAATTGTGGCAAGGGAAGTCATAAAATGGGGCAAAACTCACTTAACAACTGTCTCACTTAGCAACATAAATTTTGGGCTGAATTATGGTCACAAGTCAAGGACTGTATACTGTACATACATACATGCATAAAATTTTAGTGGATAAATCATCTTTACTCAGTGCCTCTTGTCTGTTGCAGATTTATGTTATATAAATAAGCAACATAACGATGTATGTTATATTGTGTAACGGAAGGTCAATGTTTTGTAGTCTAATGGCTGTTAACTATCCTGAGTGGTGTGTAAGTGGAAGTAAAAATAATAAATAGCCTGGCTGGAGTGTTCTTTTCCAAGGGAGCTGGGAGATGCCAATGTAATCACTGCAGTTTGATTAATAGACTCTTGGATCCTAATTCCTATAAAGTTTGCATGAGATTTAAACGAGATGCTCTGAGCTCCTGTTGGAGAGACATGGAATAAAAATAATGACAAATAAATAATGCTGCTCTGTTGGCTATGCTGGCATTCCCTCTTTTATTATCCAGGGGAGATAAATATGGTGTCATCACATACCGGTGTTCTGAGCACGCTGCCTTGTCCTTGAAGAATGGTGCTTCTCTGTGGAAAAGAAATGAGCCGTTGTTCCAGCTGGCTTATGGCGGCTTTGGACACTTCTTTTGGACCAGATTTACTGATCTGGGTAAGTCAGCAATCATCTTGTCCGGTTTCATCAAAATAGACCTGATTTGGTAAGGGTGGTTGTACTGAATTAATTCATATACTGCAGGGTTTCTAAAACCTTGGCAGCTTCAAGCTGTGTGGACTTCAATCCCCAGAATTCCCCAGCCAGCATCCCTCACTTTATTTATTATCAAACAAAATTAGATGGCCATCCAACTTACACACAGTGATCCTGATACAGATATTAATGATGGTAGACACTAAAAAATCCAAAACATAAACTCTACACACTCCCAACAATCCTCATTTACATATCTTATTATCAATATTTAATATTTATTTACTATCTGATACATTTATTTCTATTTATTAGCACTGTGCTTTCTTTATACTATCAGAGGTAACCAAGTTTTTTTCCCCCTCCAGAAATGACTGAATCAGAGTGGTTATCTTGAATTCCCTCACATATACTAATCATGCTAATCCACTGATTATTTAACTGCAGATATTGAATTAACCAGAATTGATTAGATATATGCAGCACATTAAGCCATGAGTCAGTGTTTGCAAATAATAATAGCTGGGTTTGTGCCTATACTTTATTAAAATAAAAGAAATCAGATTAAACATTCCAAGGGTTTTTATATTTGCTCATTTTCACAGACCACAAGTGATTTTAATTTATTTTCTTTCATTTTAATTTAAGCCCTCCTCCCCTGAAAGGGGAAGACAGCAACTATTGTAATTCCAGAAAATTTAAATTAATCAACCCTAACCATAAAAAATAGTTAAATAGCACACAGTTATGAAATCAAATATAATGCTGTCACCCAAAACAGCAGTCTGTATTAGGGACAATGAGTTATCCAATGCTGGCTGTTTTTAACAGCTTCCATACAGAAATGTGGCCAACCTTTTCTCTTGAGGGACAGTTTTGTTCCCTCAGCCAAATGCTGATTGGTCTCTTCAGAGAAGAGCACAGGAGATAGCTCAACTGGCTACTCCTGATCATTAAATCTTGCCATTTCAGAGGAAGTGGAGATTTATAGGTTTTCTATATGGCTTGGAAACATTATATGTAATATACACTATGTCTTAGCTGATCTCCTTGGGGCCATATAACAAGTTCCTCCCTCCCTCCCTCCCTCCTTCCTTCCTTCCTTCCTTCCCTCCCTCCCTCCCTCCTTCCCTCCTTCCTTCCTTCCTTCCTTCCTTCCTTCCTTCCTTCCTTCCTTCCTTCCTTCCTTCCTTCCTTCCTTTCCTTCCTTCCTTCCTTCCTCTATTTGACAGCATTTATCTTTTCTCTGTAGCAGATTCCAACACAGAAGAGTCCTCTCCAACTCCAGTAAAAAGCAAATATGAGACCATGGATTTTGATAGCCTGCTGCAGGAGGCCCAGGAAAGTTTGCATCGGTAACAGCCTTAACCTTTGAGGAATACCTTAATACCTCAGTCAAGGCACTTCCAATATGTTTACGTTTTCAAGAAATGATTAAGTATATAATGAGAGAGAGAAAGAGAAAGAGAGAGAGAGAGAGACTGCTGACCCTTTAAATTGATGTTTACATTGAACAAGCTGCTTCTGTCTGTGAGTTCCCATGGTGTTGATGTTCCACTGCCACAAGTTAGTATCTCTGCTTCTGATTGGTTGTGTTAGGATGAGCCTGCAAAAGCCTTCTGTCCTCTTCTTGTCCGAACCCCTTTCTCTGACTGGCCCCATTTCCGCCATGGAGTGGCAGCTGTGTTCACCATAACTTTTATTTCATTTTTGGTCTGTAGTGTGTGATTATGAAATTGTTAATTGTGAATAGAATCAAGATTGTAAACTAATTTTTAATAGAAGAAAGAAATATATACTTATAATGTATTTATGGCTCAGATGTACTGTAATTCAGATTTATTGTACCGCTTCCTTGATTTTTAACTATGCACTGTAATGAGGCACTTGCCCCTCAGCAGATGCAGCCTTTCCAGAATGGTTCCCTTCAGTGAGTGGCTCATCTGAAAATCATAAAGAATCCATTTTGTCCTTGATTAGCCGAGGGGGTTATTGAATGGCAGTGTTGAATTGCTGTATAAACTATTCTTTCCATTTGTCTGGACTGAATGCTGGGATCACCACTCCTTAATCATTGACTGCATGAGACATGACAAACTTGTGATTCCGCAGTCCAAAGCGGACTCCGGGTATTTTGACAACTGAGCCCTCAGATGCCAAAAGATAAAATCAAGTGACAAATGAGAAGGTGACAGGGTATATTTTCCCCTCTTCCCTCATGCTGAAATGATAACCTGTCCTCCCAGCCAAGTAAATGATACATGAGAAAAGCCTTGCTAAAGTCCTTTCTGATCAGCACCTTGTTTCCAGGGGGCCACCAGAAGCTTCTGAGAAACTCACAAGCTGCCCAAGAATGCATTTAATCTGCTACAAGTGGTGATCTAATGTTCACTGCTGCTGAATTGAGAAGTACATAACAGCCATTATAACTAATAGCCATTGACCTATTTATTCTACATGTGGACTCTCTTGTGAGACAAAGAAGGTTGGAAAGTGAGCCAGACAAGTTAAGGCTCCTAAGCATTAAACCCCAACATTAGAATAGCCATTGTTTCATGACATCATGACATAAAGTCACAAATATAGAACAGTTTATTTTAAGTCAGATCCCCAGTAGCCTCAGGAATAGATTTCTGGCCATCTGGTCATTCAACCAAAGCAAAATCTCTTGTCTGATGGATAGCCTGGGTTTGTTTGCAAGACTTAACAGAAAAAATGGTCAAAAGCATCCTTGCACCTTGACCCAGCACTCAGCATCAGCAGCGTTATCTCTGTCCCATGTTAAATACTGCTCTCTGCCTGAGCAAATTTGAATAAGCCATACTGTACAATATACAGCCAGTCGCATATGATAACTGTATTGTTATTTTTTATTCTACATGTCTGTTTGCCTGCATCTTCCTTCCTTTTGATTTCCCCACAGCTTAGAACTCTTGCTGTCTACTCATTGATCAGCTTTTCCTAAATTCAAACCCTGAGATGTCCATGGGAAGGGAATCAGCCTTGTGTAACTTAGGCTGATTTAGACAAATGGTTTCTGGAGAAAGAGGCCATCCGATGACGGTAAATACATGTGGAGACCTCATTCTCATATAGTACACTGTACCAAATGCATCATTTGCCAGATGCAATGTGGCTGTTCTTGTGCTAATTGACATCCAGCAAAGGATAGGGAGACACTAAATAAGCAATAGGAACATAAAGAGAGCACTTTCGAGTGGGGACCAAATAGCATTGCTAAGTCCTCCATCACTCACCATTTCTTGATTCTGTTTTTCACAAAGATGAGACCCATGGGGTTCAGCCATCCATGCAGATAAAATACAACAGCCTTAATTCTGTCAGTAGTTAGATTCTCTTCCCTTAAGGTCTCTTTAGCATAGCGTATATTTAATTAGGAATCAAAGAACGAAAACATCGTGATTCTGTCCTAATTCATGTTGTCCCAAAGACTGTTTGTCTGAATAGTCCCCCATTCTCTTGGTAAGGACTGTACATATCAAAGGCACCATAAGATCAAGGAATTTCTTATTTCATCCTGAATATTTATTTCTGGGATGTGAGTGGTGATCTGGAGCTTTCATAATAACAATCCTGATTTCATATGGCAGCTAATATAATTTCTATGCTACTTGCAAAATTCACTGTCACAATGTTTTGGCTAACATGTCACTTTTAACATCTCTGTTTAGGAACTTATTAAAGGATTACAAGGCCATTAGATCTTCTTGTGATCAGTCCAGAACAAGATGAAGTATCTGCTATAGACAAGTGCCTCATTGTAGCTTTGCCTTTTCTGTCCTAGTATTTCCTTACCACAATGATGTTTACATGTGATTGCTATAGAGCTTACCGTAGAATGTACATAGTGACACATTTAGGGTGGGTAGGACTGTCCTGTCCTGTGCTGTACTGATGTTTTCAGAGAACAATCAAACAACAACACAATAATAATAATAATAATAATAATAACCACCCCAGCAACTACTAAGTGGAATTCTTCCATCTCCTGGCTTGGTTACAAGAGATATCAAAAAGTTCAGAACTAGGATTGGTCAGAGAGATGGAAAATGCATCAAATTTTAAGCGTGTTGAAAGTGTTGAATGCAGCTGGAAAGAAAGAGTTAGAACAGCCCTCCTGCTGTTTGGAAGATGCTGCTTCTAGCCCAAACTTGCTTGCAAACGTGGCTTTATCTGCTTTTATATCTCAAGTTATTTTTCAGAAGCTGGACTTGCCAGTGATATTAGGGCATGCAAGACATGCTCCTTGAAGGGAAGGAAGATCCTGTAATGCACATAGCCTCTCGATCCTAGCTGTAGGGAGAGGTGCAATAAGTGATCTTTGTTTTGCCTAAAGCCTATAAAAATATATTTTTTGTGCGAGGAATTTCACTAGGACTTTATGCAATATGCACATATGTGCACAAACGCACACATGAACGAGAGGAAGACAATGGGCATTGAGCCCTTCAGCATCTACAAATTCAGTAGTGTTGAATGTAGAACCTAAGTGGGATGGTCTGCAAAGGACGCACATTTCTCCCGGTTATAGCATATCAATACCTGCAGCTTATGCTAAATTTGCTATTGGAAGCACAGCTAGTTTGCATCACCCACACAGGGAGAAATTTGTGAAAATCCTGTGTTCGTATTTATTCTTAATAGAGACTTGGGAATTTGTAGTGTATGACAGAAGAATTTTAGGCAAATGCCTGGATCAGAGAACAGGGAGAACAAAGTAGAGAGGTACACTAATGTTTCTTTGAATAAATAAGTACGATGCATTAAACTTTTGATATGTAGAGCACTCAGCTGCAGCGCTACATGAATATTGTAAAGAGTAATTATAGAAGGCTGTTGAAGAATGACCAAGTTCCATATGACAAAGGAAGTGATAAGATCGAGTGGATAAAATACCCAGCTTTGATACTCCTATCTCCAAATATCAGAGTATCCAAATAATAGACTTGTGATCCACTAAACCAAACTCAGACTGTCATCCTGATTTTGCTTCTTGCCTAGGAGTGTGAGAGATCTCATAGGCTTGGATAGGCAGCTGATATTCTATGGTTACATTGGTGGGTCAACAAATCTTACAATACAACATGAACTTTTTCTCACGCAGTAAGAGAACTGTTTGTTTTCCTTAGGACAAGGAATTAAAATGAGCTTTATATCTTGCTCCAGCCATCCTTGCTGCTAATGTGTTCTGGCAGATTCCTCCTAAGGGCAGTTATATTCAGCACATTTTGATTATCTTAGGATAGTACAAAGAGGCCCGCTGACTAAAAATGACTATATGCTGCCTCTTAGCTTAAGGCAGGGGTAGACAACCTTGGCTCCATAGCTGGCTCAGGAATTCTGGGAGTTGAAGTCCACGAGTCATAAAAGAGCCAAGATTGCCTACCCCTAGCTTATGGGGATTCATTTCTGAAGGGATCATGTTCTTTGCCCTTTTTATAAAGAGGGTGCTAGCAGGGTCCTTTCTGCAAAGTTTGCCTAAATTTCTTCTGTACTTGTTTTAATTATATGCATAATGCCAACACCCCCATGTTCATGGGGCAGGCCTAGCCATAACGATGAGCAACAGAACAAATGAAGATCTTGTGAGGACACATGAAAAACCAAATAAAGAGAATTAATCGTCCAGGGTTTTTCGGAACAAAAGGGTGTATTAAGAGAGGCAATCATGAGGGAGACATTTATTTTTTTAAACAAAATTATATATGTTTGTAGATGTGTGTGTGTGTGTGTGTGTGTGTGTGTGTGTGTATGAGAGAGAGGAAGAAAGAGAAAAATCCCTCCTAATTTTCTTTTATAGTTTTTTTAATTATTATTATTTTAGAAAATCAGGAGAAATACATTGAGGATAGGAATAAGTCACAAGCCATTTATTTTCTCTCGATCCTTTAATAACGATCGCTTTATTGTAAAACAAGTCAATATTGACAAGTCAACTGAAAACTTTGGCAGAAGTAAAACAGCCATGTCGTAAAGGGACTACACAAGAAGAACTGGGTTCTGTATCTTATTTTCACTGCCAGTTATTAAACAGTTGTCTTGTTTTCCCTCTGACCTATTCTACCTCCATAAAACTGATATCAGCTTTGTCTTTGTTTTTGTGGTGAACACTCAGTTTTCTCAGTAGCCCATTCAAAAAAGCCATACAAGAGTCCGTATGAGTGTGTGCATGGCTGTGTTTAATATGGCATTAATTTACTATATGGAAATAGGAAGCAGTTTAGCATTTCCTAAGTTTATTTTCCCAAGAGGATAGTCCATGTGTTATATTCTTTACCAATGTAAGCATACCAAGCCTCTTTTTCATTTCCATGTTTTCTGAATTTTTTGCGAAGCTATTTCTTTCTCATTTGTATAATTTGACTTTATATATATATATAATTCCCTACACTATGTCATTGATTCCCATATAGCAATTGGGAGGGCCCCTTCCACGACATGTTTGTGTATGATTTCAGGTACCTCATTGTTCTAAAAAGGGTGGTCACCCTCCTTATCAAAAACAAATAGGAGCTCATGCATTCTGCATTGCATTTATGATTAGTTGAAGAACATGGGCCTAACAGTGAGCAGCTGCAAAAGGGTACTACTAATTTATTTGAAGACAAATGCTATAAGAATGTAATATACATACATAGTACATCATATATATATATATGATGTTTTAGGGCATATGTTGAGCATAAAATGGCTTAGATTCAAAGCCTGTGTGGGAGTTAACATGATGAGTTGAACTTCCCTATAATCCTTATACAGGTAGTCCTCAACTTACAACAGTTCGTTTAGTGACCATTTGAAGTTACAGTGGTACTGAAAAATGTGACTTATGACCATTTTTCATACTTGACCGTTGCAGCATCCCCATGGTTACATAACTGACTCATATTTATGATGGTTGCAATGTGCTGGGGTCATGTGATCACCATCTGCAACCTTCTGGCAAGCAAAGTCAGTGGGGAAACCAGATTCATTTAACATCTGTGTTAGTCACTTAACAACTGCAGCGATTCATTTAACAACCATGGCAAGAAAAGTTGTAAAATGGGGCAAAACTCACTTAACGACTGTCTCACTCAGCAACATAAATTTCGGGCTCAATTATGGTCATAAATCGAGGACTACCTGTACACGGAAACCAATGAACTTAAAGTTTGACAAGCATCTCAAGCGAATATTAGACCAGGTTTTAAATGTCCCAGTTGTAATATTTAAATCTCACTTATGCAAATCGCTATAATTAAAGGCATCACCTAAGATTTGACCTGGGTAATCCTGAAAGCATGCCCGCATTATCTGCATAAATCCTAGGTTCATTTGTCTGTGGGAATCATACATTAAGTCAGGCTAGGAAGCAAAGTGTGCAGAAAGCCGGCCATTTTTCAGTTGCATGGCCATTGCTGCAGGCTTCTCAGATGGCAGCTTTGGAAAAGACTAGACCAGGGGGGTCCCCAACCTTGGCAACTTTAAGACCTGTGGACTTCAACTCCCAGAATTCCCCAGCCAGCATGGGGCTGGCTGGGGAATTCTGGGAGCTGAAGTCCACAGGTCTTAAAGTTGCCAAGGTTGGGGACCCCTGGACTAGACCTCTCCATCTTGTGCAGAGCGCTGCGTGCATCAAAACACACCCGAACCAGTACATAAAGGTGCTGCATTTTGAGGAGGGTCATTTCACTATTGAAAAACAGATTTCTTATAATAGTTTTTTTTTTTCTTTTTCCCCCCCCCCCATTTCCTCATGTGTATGATACCGATTGTGAGACAAACCACTGGAAAGACTGATTTTAGTACAGGAGTTGGTGCTTTAGGAAGCATCATTTCACACAAAGCTGAATTCATGCCCCTCTTTGCCATGTGTGTTTATGTGTGGATGGGAGGCAGAGCGTGTGAAGGAGGCTAAATTGATGCATTTTTTAGAGAAAGGTGTAAGAATTTCACCTAAAAGAGGGGCACATTTGCTATATGTTATTTATAATAAAAATTATAAAATAAAGATTTTACTGAGGGTTGGTTTTTTTTTCTTTTTTTTTTTCTGGAGAACACTGCTAATAATTGGAAGGGCCCAATTCTGCCATGTTTTTACAGGTAATAACTAAGTGGTAACTTACATCTGAGTAAGTAAAGGCAGCAGAATTGACCCCTTTGTAATCTATACAATCAAGTTTTTAGTTTGGTGTTTTAAAAGAGTAATAGAAGATTTTAATATTTCATTTATTTCCCCCCCCCCCGGTCGTATTCTGTTTTGTCCTTATTTATGTAATATACTTTAACCTTAACTGGCATACATTTTATGCCTTTCTTTTGTTATTGTCATTTTTTAAATAAATATTTCTTTCTAGTGTGATTTCAACGTCAACCTTCTAAATAAGAGAATGTTTTCTTGTATTTTTACATTGTCAGATTCTATAGTTTCGTAGATGATTTAACCAAATTGCTCAATGTATTCTCTATATCTATCTAGTGAGTATATAAAAGTTCTATTTTAAATTATGTAAATACTTCAGAACTGGCTTCTTTTTGAGACTCCCCCATTGCGGAGTTAATTGTTTACATCACAAAGACTGTAGAATCTCTACATTCATGTACTGTAAATAGTGAAGTGATCTGCCTATAAATAAATAAACCATAACAAATATACCATAAAGTTCATCACGTTTAGTTTGATTGTAATCCTGTGTGGAATTGTACATACACCTTTTGGTATTCATATATATTTTAGAGTTTATTGTCAGTTACAGAAGGCAGAACTCAACGAATGATTCAAGTCATGAACTTGCATATGGTTAAGCTACAACCTGTGGTTTGGAACAAAAATTTATTATACAAGCCTATACAGAACTACATAAGATTTACTTAGCTCCAGTATTTTCAGTAAAACTTTCAGTAAGTATAATGTATATAAATTAGATATGCAATCATTTGAAGATTAACTGCTTAATTTTAAGGCCTATGGTTACCCTGACTTTGCTATCCAATTAAATGTTTTTAGGTTGAGAGTTTTTACTTCAGTGACATGTGAGAATCACTGCTTAATTGTCAGCTTATCCGAATACATGTTAATTACACTCAAAATGTTGATTTACCTCCAGTCTCTTTTCTTTCATCATTTCTGCTTTTGACAACTTAATAATAGGGATTATGTTACAGCTTCACACTGTTGCTGATGATAAAACGTATAGGCCTGCAGGCATTCTAATCAGCCTGAGAAATTAGTGAAATATTGCTGATGCTGTCAGATGCAGTCTTTATAAATGTGGTTTTTGAAGATTTATTGGTATACAGATCCTGAAGTGATGGGCTATCCTGACATCCTCTTCAGTTTGTTACATTACAGCCTCAAAGAAAAGATTAATTGGATCACACCCTAACTCAAACACTTTCAGTTTTTCTGCACATTCCTATGGGGTCCTTAACTCCTTGGGTTCTCCTTCACCTGGGACATTCAAACTCTTGGATGATAGGTTTAAGCATGTAAACAGCGCTTGATTATTCTGCCTCTTTAAAACCTTTTTAATTTTGTTAAAAAATTTAATTCTATAATTTTAACTCTAACATTTTTATGTTAGAGTTATGCTGTTTTTACATTTTGATCTTTAATTGTATATTGTCCAGAATTCCTCTTTGAAATGTGATAGATAGATAGATAGATAGATAGATAGATAGATAGATAGATAGATAGATAAGATAGATAGATAAGATAGACAGACAGACAGACAGACAGACAGACAGACAGACAGACAGACAGCAGATTCATTCCATAATGGTAAATAGGGCAGGGCAGGGATCTATCTGGGATTATTCTTACTGCAAATATGCAAAAATGTTCTTCATGCCATAGAGACTTAGTAAAATATTGACAAACAAACTTCAAGGCATCTGTTCCTGGAACATGCTGCATGTTTATTGGTCATGAAGGAGAGAAGTGACAAGTTTGAAGAAAGGTTCTTTCAAGTACCTAATACCAGAATGCACAAAGTAAAAACTTTAAAACCCTTATGGAAAAATGACAGCATTTCTCCATAATATATTAGTTTAGAATGCATGGAACGATACTTTCCAGATGAACCTTGCAGATACTACGTTTGCTTTCTTGTCCTTATCCTTCACAAGGGAAACTTGGTGATACTTTTGCATGGATGTACTTATATGTCCAGCAGAAATCTAGTCATTAAATCCTCCCCACTGTTTTAGCTGGAGCAATCAACAATCTGAGGTAACACACATCCAGTTTTAACTCTTTTTCCTCATCATAGAGGCAACAAGAAACAATATTTAATTCATTACTTTTTTCTTACAATTGGAATCCATTTTTTTAAAAAAAAAAAGTTAGATAGACAATATGGTTACTATGGTCACTCATCTTTATGCCCACCACTTTCTATCCATCAACAACGAGAGAAAGAGAGGGGGGGGGGTAGATGATTGGAAAATACTATTACTGTATCTTCTGTTATATGGATGTTTCCTGATTGTCATCCTGCCATTTCCTCTCTAAGGCCCTCTTCTTAAACGATAGCAATTAAAATGAATGTAACAATGTCCATTCCTAGTTTTGATAGTGCGCAACAAGTGGACCTCTGCAGGGAAAGTCCCTTCTAAGCCTCTTTCCTAAATAACATTCTGGATCCAGTGCACTAACTTTCAAATAAAACCCAACAAAAACTTTGGAATAAGGACATGCAGCCTAGCAGTCTTGGTGGTCCCAAAAGAGAGACCTTCTTCCATTAGCCAAGATGTTTTCTATACACCAGTGTTTCCTAAACTTGACAATTTTAAGGCATGTGGACTTCAACTCCCAGAATTCCACAGCCAGCGTTGCTGGCTGTGGAATTCTGGGAGTTGAAGTCCTCATGCCTTAAAATTGTCAAGTTTGGGAAACACTGCTATACACTGACAGCAGCCCTAAAGACTGTGTTTCTTCTCAGACAGCTGCCTATACTTGAAATTGATATATAGTATCCAAAAAGTAAATAAGTCATAAGATTTCAACATTTCTCTTTCTCTCTTGCTCCTTTCCCAGGATATTAGGGATATTACATTGTTTCTGAAATTCTGCTCATTATGCAAACATTAAAAACACTACGGTTCTTCTAAAGGATGGAGGAAGAAATATACACAGACCTACATACAAACTGCTTGATGATATGAAGGGCCTTGATTTCAGAAAACTCTAAAACTGGAGAAAAGAACAGGACAACAAACCTGGAGGGGAGGGAGGCATCAAGGGAGGCATCAGATATGTCTAAAATATTTGGGAGGGGGGGAACGGCAGATTTCAGCTTGGAAAATGGCACCCCTAAAGAATACTGAACTTTACCTAATACAGAAAGAGACAATGAGATTTGTTGCTTTACTAAATCCAATTAAGCAAACTTTGCTTAATACAACCATCTGCTATTTACACGCCCTCCAAATATGTGGATTTTGTTTTCCATATTTCTCATTAATAGCCGTGTTGGCTGAAGAGTTCAGTGAGTTGATTTATCTGCATCCATAAGGCCCTCTGAGTGAAGAAGTAACTAATATTAAAGTGGGGGGGGAAGGTGTGCAAATTTATTTTTTTCATTCTATACATGTGTGTGCTATGAAAGAGAAGAGTGGAATAACTAGCATACCAACCCTCTAATATGCTAAATATATGATTAAATGTTATGCTGGACTTGAGACTTTGGAGTAATTTTTCAACAATACTTTTAAAAACTCAGCCAAGCTTTGGATTTGAGCACAGTGCTACATACAGAGGGTACAGACCTTCATAAAACAACAAAAATCACATATAGATTCAATGTGTTGAACTCAGTGGTTGCATTACTGGAGTACTGGGAGAGGTGAACCTTTTTATGCTGGAGATTCATGTACTTTATAAAAATAATTTT